ACTTTAGGAACTTTAAAAAATCCACTATTACTATGTAAACAATGAACTTTCTCACTGAATTGTTTCTATGGTGCACTTAAAGTCTTAAGGATAACAACACCGACTGCTGTAGGTATGAAATTTGTGATTATAACTTTAAACTTAGTATTTGCTCAAATGGTGCAAATACTAAATTCTTAATCACAAAACTCATCTGTACTTTTTCCCTCTGCCACTATAAAACAAAGGATTTCTCTTCATGGGGAACCAGTAAACTCTCGTCTAATCTGTTCTAATCTGATTAAATGTAACTTCATCCAAGATAAATCAAGCCAAGTCTTTGTTTTGTGTACTCGGAAGAAGAAATAAAGAGGTTTTAGTCACACACTGAGGTTGTGATTAACAACATGAAAAGCCATAGAAGTTTAGATGCAGGTCTGACTGTTTTTACACCTCACATGGCCAAAGGAAGGCGTTTTAATGAGGACATTTCAAAGTTCCTGACATATTTCAAACTTTATTCCTTCATATCGGCGATGCCTTGCTTCAGATTTACAATTAAAATGCCTCCCACATAGGAGCTGTATTTTTATTTTCATATCAATTTTATGAAATGACACGTCTTGATACAGAGCTAGCAGATTGTCCTCCCCGTAGTCTCCTCCTCAGCAGTTCTCCTTCTACAGAAGTAGCTGGCTGAGTCCCTTCAGTGTCAAAGCACAGCCTCCTATCATTAGCATGGCAAAGGTCCCAAGGTCTACTGTAGGGCACCTAGATGAGTGCCGGTGGGAGCCGAGGGGAGGGGAGGGGGGAGGCAATTACTGTCCCCACTAATTCTTTTTATCCCTTTCAAAGGGACGGGTGATTAGAAGAGGAAAGTTTAGATTTCCTGAACTTGAAGTGGAAACGCAAAAGTGACAGACGAAGCTCAGAACTCAATCCACATCAGGGAGGGCTGGAGCTGTGTGTGTGTGTGTGTGTGTGTGTGTGTGTGTGTGTGTTAGGGACTTTTAAATCTTTACTGGTAGGCTTACTTTGGGATGTGAAGAAGTGGTGGCTGTCTTCAGATGCTACAGTTAAAATAACTGAGGTCAAAGGTCAGAGACACAACATAATACCCTCTATGATTTGTACTTAAGGACAAATATTCTGCACTTTAATTTTACTTTACTTTTACAGTTAATTCTACATCATACTTCTAGGTCATTACATTTCAGAGGGAAATATTTTAGGCTCAAAATGTTTCAATGTGATTACTTTTAGACGACCAATAAATAAATAAATAATTTAGCCTTTCTTCACCAGAATTTAAGTAAAACTTAACAAAATAATTTAAAATTCAAAGATAAAATTCCAGAGATTAAGAAAATCCCTTTTTGGTGTCTGGTCACATTTTTGTGAGGGGTTTTAAGGGGGGGCCCTGGCTATTGCCCTGACAGCAACAAAAGTTCAGTACAGCTCACACAAAATATGTCACAAGATCAGAATGAAACAAAACTGTTATTAAAAGATTATGAACACAGTTGCCAATAACAGTCATGTAGGAGACTGTCTTTCCCCATATATCACATTTTGTAACTTTGACCCATCACTGAGCTGTACCCTCTTTAATATCAGACACATTATTAAAAGTATTATATCACTTATACCACAGAGACTTTCTTATTGTGGGTCCTTACCAGTAACATTGGAGCTTGAGTTATTGTGTTGTTTTGTCTAGTAACTAACTTATGTCATAAAAAAATGACTTTGTGAGTGTGTTTGAACGTGTGTGTGCGCGCGTGTGTGTTTCTTCTTCCCAAGTCTGACTCATCCTCCTCCCTGTGTTTATTTCAGCAAAGTCCTCTGGAAAATATGCATCGTTATAACTGCCCCTTTGTGAAGCACCAGACCTCTGCAATATTTCTCACCTAGGTGAGTGTGTGCCGATGCCAGAGCAGGGCCCGCATCGGTTAACCCTCAGCTCGCCGGGCGGCAGCGTTGTGTGTGTCTGTCTGTGTGTGTGTTTGAGGAGAAAACCTGTGGGAAACCTCCCATGCCTTTTCAAGTAAACTTCATATTTCAGAGCAGACATTCGCTCACCGTGTGGGATTGAGATGCTCCTCCTTCACCCCAGTTTGGACTTGGCCTGTCTGTCAAAGAGTGAGGATGTTTTCTGTGTTGCTTTGTGCTTTAAGAATTCTTGCCGGGCAACACCTGACAACCACAACACACAGCTGAAGTTCAGCCAAGAGAGTGTTTTGTTGCTGACTCATCTCCGACTTATCAAACAGGACCCATCACTGAATTGAATCTTAATTTGGAGTTATGAGGCAGCTTCCTGTGTGTGTGTTTGTGTGACTTTGTCTGTTGGGGGTTAGTGAAGCCTATAGGCCTGGTCTGCGGGGGTTATGTCCTGTATGCAGCCGCTTTTTAACACTCTCTGTCTCTTCCTCTCATCCTCCGAAATGAAAAAAGAAAACACACACACACACAGGGGGAAAAGGAAGAGGCTGCTGAATGATACGGGATGGAAAGGTGTGAGGGAACCCCTTTACATTTATGGCCTCTGTAGAACTGGAGGAAGTGGTGTAGTAAAGTGGAGTCGCGCTCCAAAGCCCTCACTCAATTCCAAGTACAGACAGACAGTGGAATCAGAGGCGACGAGAAAAAAACAAGGGGGCTCAGACCTGAAACATTAAAACCTTTCTCAGGATCAGTGGGGCCGATGTGAGCATTAGAATGAATCCTGGAGCTCAGGAGGCTGGGAGCTCTATATTAACACATAGAGGCTCACAGTGGTGGAAGAAGTATTCAGATGTTTCCCTTAAACAAAAGCAACACCGCTACATAAAAATATGCATTCACAACACTGTACTCATCATCCCTGGTCAGAGAAAGTCTTCAAGTTTGAATGTTTCTGGTGGATTATGTATTTCATTATGGGTTGAGGATGGGAAAAGGATCCTACTTCTTAAACTAAACCAGTTAAATACCCATTAGAAAAACTAAAAAATGAATCGTAACAAAGCTAAAAGAGCCATTTTTTTGTAGCTCATTTGGTAAGTAGATTATATTACTACATGCAGTATATTATATTCTCACTCTGGTAATATAAATGCATTATTGTTTAAGCAGTATTTTGATGCAGATGGAGGTGCAGCTAATTTAACTACTCTATATACTGCCGGGTAGTTTTAGCAATAACAGTGCCTGATATTTTCTAAACTATTTTCTAATTGTCCGGCTTATTTCTGTAGCTGTCAATTAAAACAGTGGAGTCTTTCCTTTTGAAATGTAGTGGAGTTGAAGTATAAAGTAGCACCAATAAGAAATAGTACAAAGATACATCACACACGTAGTTAGTCATTTCTGACTTTTTACAGGACAAAGATTAGAACCAAAACTATGTAAAAATCCATTAGAAAAAATGACAAAAATAGAAGTATGGGCAATAAATGTGCATAAAGTATAAAAAGTAAAAAACAAACAACTTAATTACTTATACTGTACTTTAGATGTTTATACTGATGCATTAATGAGTAAGTAACAATCTAATGTTGATGCAGGTCGAGGTAAAGTTAAAGTACTCTCTGTTGTATGGTTAAATCTGCAGCAATAGAGAAACTCAGGTTTTGTTCAATTCAATTCAATTCAATCAACTTTATTAATCCCACAAGGGGCAATTAGTTAAGAGCAGCATGTTTTCAACAGTACCTGACACAAATCACACACATTATTCACAACATACAAGCAGCCAGTATGTGCACATTTAAAACCCTAAAGTTTGTTCGCCGAAGGGATAAAAGATTTGGAGTGGCGGTTCGTCTTACACACAGGAAGTACGTAACATCATGAAATCTTAATCTGCAGTAGCTACTTGCTCACTTGTCTTCCTTTATGTGTATTTCTGATCTCCTGAATCTTTTAGTGCTATATGAATAGAACGTCAGACACTCAAATAAATTTAGCTATTTCTATTATTTTCATGTGTTTATCTCCTTCTGGTTATATGTATGTTCACTTTAAGAGGGAAAAAGGAGAGAATGGCCACTATAAGAGTGGGAGCATCACTGGTGAGCACAGACAAAGCAAAAGAGGGCAGCGACCTTTTTGAGAAATAAAAGCACAGCATTCAGTGCCAGTGTTGCCACATACAGTTCAGGGACCTCTGTCTCATATGTATGCCTATAAACATGATCCGATTTGGAAGTGTTGCTGGCTGACATCAGAATTCTCCACAACTTCTGGATTAGTAAATTAATGTTTCTGTTCAAATAAGAGAAACAGCCTCTGCCTCCAGCTGGCTGAAATATTTAATATCAGAGGCGCAGAGGGGGTCATGCAGGCGCATTATGCAAATCCCGGCATCACTTGTGGGCCGTCCACACTTTGGCACAACAGGAACACAGAGTCTGCCCTAATGGCCCATACTCAGTAAACACAAGCCCTCTCCCATGTGGATTTGAGACAACAAAAGATTAGCACTATTTGCAAATATACAACTGAGTTCAAAGGCACGGCTCTCTTCCCTCGCTTCCCTTCTTTTGTTTGAACACACAGCTTTGAATGTGTAGGGCATCAAATGCAACAGACTGATAGATTTGTAGGTATCAAACTATAAATCCCAAACTTTCACCCCAACAGCATTCCAATAGCAAAGTCCTCAAAAGTCTATAAAAGTGTTTTTAAAAATGCAGATTTTTGAGTAGAGTTTGGTTTATGAAAGCACGTCAAGCTAAATATAAAGGTTGATTTTTTAAAATCAATTATAAATATCTGCTATATTGTAGAGAGAGGTTCACCTTGGTGTGGGGGTGGCGTCTGGAGACGTTGAACCCGGTCAGAGAGGCTAGTTGTGTGCGCACAAACCACGCCCCACCTCCCCATGAGGTCCCTGAGGGCCCTTAAATGATGCGGCCTCGGGATTTAGAAAGCAGTATCACTCGGGCCTTCTCTCTCTCTGCCAGCGGCTGTCTCAGAGTCAGTGAGCCCCTGTCCTTAACGTCTCGGATTTAGGTCTATCTACACTGCTTGGAAATATGACTTCTTCCAACCCTGACCAGCGCCTGGAGCATCTCCTCAGCGCCGTGGAGAGCGAGTTCCAGAAGGGCAGCGAGAAGGGAGACGCGTCCGAGAGGGATATTAAGCTGACGCTGGATGATGCAGACTTGTGGACCAAGTTCAAAGAGTTAACCAACGAGATGATTGTCACCAAAACTGGAAGGTAGGCTCAATGAAGCAGCAACCTGTGGGGAGGCCGGTGGTGGGGTCTTTTGCGCACAAACCAGGCTCTGTTTACGCACGGGTGTTTTTTTTATGTGAAGAGTGTAATTTAGTGTGTATAAATGTTCTACATTTTAAAAAGTATACGGCAGGTTTTTATTTGATATCAATCAGGCTCACACATGCACAAGTGTTCTGTCAAAAGGGCTGCCCCTGAGGCCTTAGAGGCCTTGGGAGGTGTGTGAAGAAGGTAACGGATATTTGCTTATGTGAAATAAAACAGTGCACTCGCAAAGTAAATACATTCTAACAAATACCATCCTTGTTGATTTCCAGGAGGATGTTTCCGGTGCTCAGGGCCAGCGTTAGCGGCCTGGACCCCAACGCCATGTACTCGGTGCTGCTGGATTTTGTGGCCGCGGACAACAACCGGTGGAAATACGTGAACGGGGAGTGGGTCCCCGGTGGGAAACCGGAGCCCCAAAGCCCCAGCTGCGTCTACATCCACCCGGACTCCCCCAACTTCGGAGCGCACTGGATGAAAGCGCCCGTCTCCTTCAGCAAAGTGAAACTCTCCAATAAACTCAACGGGGGCGGACAGGTGAGAGATGATCAGCCAAGATTATCATTAATTGTGGTGATATGAAAAAGTTTCAGCTTTATTAGGCCTAAAAATAACGGGACGATATATAGTTTATAGAAGCTTTTATTATTTTTTATGTTCTTTCACATTTAAATATGTCACTGGTAGACTTATATGAAATATACTCGTTTCGAAAAAATACACTAGTTTTAGAAACTGTGGATCATTAATATCAAGAGAAAGACACTTAATTCAAGGGAATAGTGTGATTTTCACAGGACATCTTTACTGCTAGATCTTTACTTGTCCTGAGAAAAATACTTAATTGAGTGGGTGAAACAGTAGCCCTGCTGTATTATAATGATATATAGTAATATTAGGCTATTTGGATTATTTTTCCATAGATCATGCTGAATTCTCTGCACAAATACGAGCCAAGGATTCACATTGTGAAGGTTGGAGGCATCCAGAAGATGATCAGCAGCCAGTCTTTCCCCGAAACACAGTTCATTGCGGTCACTGCTTACCAGAATGAAGAGGTCAGTTGTGCATGGAGAATGTGCATATACATGAAACCTTTTTAACACTAACTTGTTCTGAAAATTAATTCCAATGCTAACAGCTGTCCTGTCCTCCTCACAGATTACTGCTCTGAAGATAAAGCACAATCCCTTTGCTAAAGCCTTCTTGGATGCCAAAGAAAGGTATAGGCTTCAACCTCAAACCATTCCTCAAATGAACATGCCAGCGTTCTGACAGCACAGCATCTGATGTTGTTGTTTTTGATTGCAGGAGCGACCATAAAGATGTCCCTGATCACAGTGTGGACAACCAACAGTCTGGCTATTCTCAGCGTGAGTTCCGCTGGTTTCTACATTTCTGAACAGTCTGAATAATGTTCACAAGAAAACAGCAAATTACTTCTGCTGGAAGGAGTTTTGTGCATGGAAGCATTCGTAGAGAAATCTCTCTTTTGCTCAACAAAGAGGAGAGTGTTTCAAGTAAAAATGTTATGGTTACAGCGACAGAGCACCTGAAACTGCTTTATATTTTTTTCTCACAGAGATCTGTGATATGTTATATGACTATATTTTTGTTTTGTTTGATCCTATAGTTGGAGGTTGGTTCCTCCCAGGCCAGAGTCCTATCTGCCCCAGCAGCAGCCCTCCTCAGTTCAGTGGCACGGGAGGTCACTCCTCCGGCTCCTACTGCGAGCGCTATTCCAGCCTGAGGAGCCACAGAGCAGCCCCGTACCCCAGCCACTACACCCACCGTGCCTCCAGCACAAGTAAGACCCCACTCAGACCATACATATATATTTTTCTTCTTCTTAATATTATGTTAGGAATTGGCATTAATATGCGGTCTGTACCTCACTTTTAGACAACTACATGGACAACTCTTCAGGGACTCTTGCCCATGACAGCTGGTCTGCTCTTCAGATCCCCAACTCCACAGGCATGGGCACTCTGTCCCACACCACCAACTCCACATCTAATTCCAGGTAAGACTGTTTAACCAGTACTTTACATTTCCAATTATAAAGGTGTAGACTGTCTGCAGGCGTTCTTGCTCGTTTCATTTAAGCTGAATTAAATCAGCCTCAAAAAACCTTCTCAACTTTGATTTGTCTAGTTTTATCTGGGTGTAAGAGGCTGTTTGTGCTTATTAGTTAATGCGATTCAGTGTCAGTGATGTTGGCCTCCAGGTTCGATGTCAGAGCCTTTTCTATACCCCCCTGTCCCACACTATTAAGCACCCAGGCGTCTTCTCTTCTCAGTATAGGCACAGAGGAAAACTGGGTACATGTTAAGGGCTTGGATAAAACCCTCTGTTTTGGAGTAGACATTATCAAGTCTCACCAAAATAATAAAATCCACCAACCCTCTTGTCTCTCTTGTCTCTCTTGTCCACAGTCAGTACCCCAGCCTGTGGTCAGTAGCCGGCACCACCCTCACCCCTTCAGGCTCGGCCTCAGGCTCCATACCTGGAGGTTTGACCTCCCAGTTCCTGAGGGGCTCCTCCTACACGGGCCTGACCTCCTCGCTGCCCGTCTCCTCTCCCTCCTCCATGTATGACCCCAGCCTGAGCGAGGTTGGGGTCGGGGAAGCCCAGTTCGAGAGCTCCATCGCCAGGCTGACCGCGTCCTGGGCGCCGGTGGCTCAGAGCTACTAAGCAGCAGCTTAAACTTCCAACGTCCCTGAAGGAGCAGGACTAAAGACATACATGAAAGGTTCTGGAGAAGATGTGGAAATCACAAGTCCTGCAAGGATCCCTTTTGTCTCCAGTTTGTGAAAAAGCTTAGATGATTCATTCCAGGGCCTCTGATTTAAATAACACTTAGGCTAAAGTTAGGCTGGAGTCATTCTGAACAAACTTGATGTGCAAAGACAATCATCTCCTTCCATGTTGGACAATATCATACCTTAGAATATTAAGCCTTAGAATAGCTGCACGGTCAGAACTCCTTCTTTGCTCTTAGTAATTCCCAACATGCTTATTACACATTTATAACATGTTTACTACACCTATTTTTAAATCTCCTTTAGCGCCAAACAACCAAACTCAACTGAAAAATCCTTGATATTTTTGTTTTTATTCTTAAATATATAAGATGACATGGTTCTGCTAACATAAATGTGTATATGTGTGTAAATAGAATAAATTAACGTCCAGTGTTTTCCAAATGAATATGCCTTTTCTGATTGCAATAAACGTCCCAAGATCGGACGGAGAGACACAAGTGCCTTCTGCATCCTGGCAGGGTTTTGTCAGGCCTAAAGACCCCCAGCCCTCCCCCCGCACAAACACGTGTACATAACTATCTATTTGTATTTGAACTCACTGTGAGTTTTATTTATGTCATTTAATAATAAATTAAAATTGTTTGTTTTCTCAAAAATGGGTTTCATCTCGTCTTTTTGGTGTGCACTCTCTACCTTGTAAAATGTACTGAACTCCAGGAATGTATTGTTTCTTAGCTTTAAGCTCGTTTTTTTCTCCCCCAAAACAAAGCTTTTAACACGCAGAGAAAAAGAAAAAGCATCAAACACTTTGTACATTAACAATAATCCTGTAAGAAATCATGTGATCTGTAAGGTCAAAGGGGAAACAAGGGCCTCTGTGGTTTAATCAGTAAGAAAACTGTCTTTCAAGCATTCAACTTAAAATAACATTTCATATATTCTCATTTTGAATCTGAAGGTTTTGCCTTGACGTGTAACTCTCACATTACCCTCGTGCATCAAACCCCTCTCACCAAACTTTCTGCCCCGCGATATGAACCTTCTTTAAATAACGGCTTCCGCACAGCTACGCTAAGTGAATGTGGCTTCTCTGACATGTAATTGAAATGACAAAGAGATGGAGAAGTGTCCAGTTTAAGAAATCTGTCGGGGTACATTTCCACCGCTGGCACCCTTTTGTTACAATCTGCGTTATGGTGCGACGTACGGCTAACACATTCAGATCTGCATGTGACGAAAATCAAAGGTACTGAATACGGACCCAAAATGCTAACACCTGGGATTGAATGCAGTGAACTAACATATTCACAATATTAGCACGTCTATTGCTCCAAAGCCAGCTTTGCATTACTAGCAGGAACATGGTGGACACAAACCAAGCTCAATTTGCCAAATGTCCAGTTTGCGCAACATGAATTTAACCACCTTTCTATAATGAGAAAAAGGTTCATGGCAAGATATATATAGTTATATGGTGTATAAGTTAGATGAAGAAACAATCTTTCAAGGAAAAAGTCATTCAAAAGGCTTTAAAACGCTGAAAAAAAAGGATTGGATTTTTGTCTGTAATGGTAAGTGGTTACATTTTGATCTTTACTCACTTGAAGCTGTAGTTTACACAGCTGTGAATGCAACACTGTATAATGCATTAAATGTATCTCTAGTATTCTAAATCATTTACAATAACATACGTCACTGTAAGAGTGCATGAACACATAAAATGTAATTAAAATTATTTCATGGCTAATTTTAAACACCATGTCATATATAAATGTATTTGGTTTCACAGAAGAAGCTAAAAAAACATAAAATTAAATAAAAATAACGATAAGTATTTGCACTACTGTGGTCATTTGACAAGGAAAAACCAAAATAAAGGTAAAAACAGTCAAATATACTGTAAAAGTATTTTATGGTTGATTCAGCTCCATCCCCAGCTCATGTGCTCATGATGTCAGTGGTGTGATGTGTGTGTCAGGCCCACAGAGGTTTGGCCCCTGAACAGTGATGGAGTGGTCCTCACCGAGGTGCAAATGAAGGCTGGAGGGTCACGGGGCCACAGGCAAACAGTAATGAAGCAGCAACGTGACCTGCAGCTGGCGGGGCCTATCACAGCGGAGCAAAGGTCCCTCTCTGAAAACCTCCACTTTACTGCCTTCTCAAACGTATGAATGTATCGCCATTAGCTTGAACAAACTACAGTAGATGTCTTTGTTTATACTGTCAAATGAGATGTGGACTTCTGTGACAGACCACTTTCACTACAGGCAAAATTAAATATAAATATTCATTCAGATGAAATCACTGAGCGTTATTTTTTTTCCATAGAAGAAGGCACTTGAGTCCCCACATTATTAATGCAAGATCCGGTAGGCCAATAGGAACAACAAGTCTTTTTAGAAGACATATAAACAACAAACATACTAAAGTAGCAAACGTACAGGTATTCATTAAGCACAGTGTTATATCATTATTCTGCATTCGTAATATTATTTTTAGAGGTGCACTGATGTTCAAGCAGGTTTTTAATGTTGCAGTTAATCGGGGACAGAGTCAGCCACCTAGGATTCAAAAATTATGCCCAGACATTGTAATGTGCTTTTTAAAATTTTGACATTGACATTTTCCGCCAGCTTTTTCCAGGAAAAACGCCTAAAATAACATACCCAAAATAAATCAGTAATATCTCCCCAACTATTTGGCCTAGATGCATGATTCTGGTTTTCTTTGAAAGGTCAGAAGCCAAGGAATATAAATCCATTATAATTAACATATATTTTTTATTTTTTTTATTTTTTATTTTGGAGATGCAGTAAAGAAAACATGATTTTCATTTGCCTGGTAAAAAAAAGTGATGTTTTAATGCTATAATAATAATAATAATACACCTGGAATGCAATTGTAACTGTAAATTTGAAGAAAATAAACTAAAATACAACTTCTAGCATACTTTTTTTTTTAAAATATACCAGGCGAATGTCCATGTTTTGGCAACATTTACTGTTTAAATGTTGACTTTTATTTGGAGCTATCTTTCAAACACTATTCTGTCCATACAACCACGTTCCAAATAACATAAAGTTTCCAAAATATTGATAAAAACAGTGAATATTAATCAATATTCCTGTGACCAAAAGCACACCCATGCTTTACAGGCGTGTAGCATGAGAACGGAACATCCCACAGTGACGGGGGGGCATCAATCGATCCGGATTGAGCAGACCTTGATTGGATGTCTATGTAGCTACTATGGGTCGGCTACCAGACCACGAAAAAGGCCGTGTGCTCCAAAGTATGAATATTGGCGCGTTTGTTGTTACTTTTATCCAGCTAATTAGTCTGTAATTTTGGTGATTTGAGTGATGTGAGCTATTCAGCTGATAGAGATAACCAGATGCTTATAACTGCAGCCATGTACAGTGATGTTGTGATACAGGCTTATTTAAATGCTTGGTGTTTGACGTGTTTTTGGTGTGGAAAAAAATGGTTGGTTTGAGCTTCTAGCTGAGCCTCCTAGCTTCACAAAGGTATGTAGCATGGATAGTGTGATGCAATAGTAGTTTCAGATATTAATTTCATGAATTTCCCATTTGCATTTTGCGCAAAAAAACGCATGCTGCCCCCAGTACAGGGGGCGTCAGGGCACAAGAGGTTTTAATTTAATACTTTTAAAAAGTAAAATGAAAAAAGCTTGCCCAGAGCACAGAATGTGCTAGGTATTAGGTATTATGTTTTGCAAAATCTTAATTAGCTACAAACTTAAAGCTTGGATAGGCAAAGTTGGAGAACTAACAAGAGACAGTTTTTTAGTGAGTTAACGGGCAGGTAGGCAGGTAGCAAATAATTTCATTCGGCTTGTGACAGCCACTGATACTGGATTTTACATAAAGCACAGAGCACATGCTGTTAGTATGTAAAGATAATTTCAACAAATATAAGAAAATAAGTGCTTCTGAAAAATTTGCCAACCCTAGCTTTAACTTTCTCTGAATTGTTGTGAAGTAGCAGTATAAAGTACCTACAATATACTACTTCTGTAAAGCTGCAATCAGTATTTTTTTACCCCTTTGGAGGCATCGAAAAAAGCTGAAAACTAAACATCTGGCAAATGATCCCCGTAAGTGGAGAACGTGCTACAAAACAACATATCCAGCTGACACAAAGCGACATTAGCATTCATTTGGAGTCGTGATTCTGATCATCAAATGAAAGTAAGTTCAATATCCACTCTCCTTTTAGTTCTGTTTTGGTCTGTTTTTAGCTTAGCTTAGCTACAAAGGTCTGTACCAAGTTTCATTCCAACCCATCCAAGAGTTGTTGAGACATTTTAGTCTGTACCGATGTGGTGGACTGAACGACCAACAGACACAGACCTGATGCTGCTAAGTAATGAGTAAATGAAGATACTCTTAACATAGAAAGTGTTATGCTCAGTCTTGCTCTTAAAGGGGAACTCCACCTCCATCTGTAGATGATGCCTTTTGAGATAATCAACATCAGAATCATCCAGTTGCAGGTAGGTCAAAGCTTAATTAACAAAGTGGTGAGAAGAAAATATATATGGATTTATATCAGGATAACATCATATTTAAAAGAATAACACACACAAGTTGTTATTTTTTTCCATATGTGTACAGTACTGTAAATATCTGTATATATATATCTGGACACTGTCACTGACAATGTCTTACTAGGCATTTCTCATATATTATATAGTTTCTATTCTCATGTCTTCAGTATTTGATCCACTGGTCCAATGAACAATTCACATTATTTTTAGCCAGTATTTGCGGATCCTATTGGACCATCACTAAAATGTTACACCGTGTGTCTACAATTCCTACCAGATATAGTACAGTGAATATCGCATTGAGGTACTTTTCATTATAGCTATTATTCATAGAATTGGAGTTTGAAAGTTTGAAAATGACTCGTTATGTTCAATAAACAATAAAAGCCAGAAATAAGAGTCACTGTGCCGCTGTGTTTATCTTCAGTGTGTGTGTATGTTTATGGGCAGTTATCCAGACTTAGTGGGGAGGATGTTTGCTGATGGTCTTTGCTCAGTCTGGAGCGATAAACAGGTCCTGCTGGGCACAGAGCCATCTATGCCCTCTCTCTTATGGTGAGTGTGTGTGTGTGTGTGTTGATCTGAGGATCCTGAGCTGACTGAAGCTTTTGTCCTCCCAAGATGGCTGATCTGCTCTGTACACCCCAGCCTGCAGCCTGTGTTGGCCTTCACTAATTGACAATTGGAGTTTGACTTTGCACACTGGCCTCCTCTCCACCCCTCGAAGTGTGTGTTCCAAATACGCTTTACAGAGTGTGCCCAGCACCCAGGTGTGGAGAACGGAGCACTCTAAACAACAGATGCAGATGTTAGGTTGGGCCACTGTTGCCTCATTGTGACTGGACTAATTAGTTTTAGTTGTAGAAGAGATGTATTGTATGCTTTCTGTTTTAGTAACAGAATTGGAGTTTTTTTAATTGTATGAACAAAGTATATCAATTATTGAAGGAAGGAATGGACATCCAGTCAGGGACTGTAGTTAGACATATGAAGAGGAGGCCAGCCTCCTGTCTCATCTCTGTCCTGTTGTCCCCTCACGTATCCCTCCACTTCCAGGAATAAGCCACCGAGCAGCCCTCTGAGGCCTCTGCAAACACCACGATTATGACGGCGAGTCACATTGTGCGAGGCCTTGCAGGAGATTTACGAGGGGCCAGCTGCCAAAAAACAAGTCGTCAAGTCTGGAACAGCGAGTCAGCGCAGTGGCAGGGAGATGTGTTTGCAGACCGCCTCCTTGTCCGCCCCAAAACCCCAACCCCGTCCCTCTGATGTCTGTGTGTCTTCGTTAATGAAGAAATTCTGGTACCTTGGTGAGACATTGCTCTCAGCTGAGCAGACTCCTCTGTGCCCTCAACCCCTGCACAGTCATACGGCCGCCCTTCCCATCTGCAATCCCATCAGCCCTCTGGCTTCGCCTCCCTTGCAGTTAATGCAACTACTAGAAGTTGGGCTACTACAATGATCCCCAGAATACTTGCATCTTATTTGTTTTTTTTTCCCAGTGCATTTTAAGCACGGTGATAACATTTCTGGGAACAAATGTGGTAACAACTGATGGCTGACAACTTCTCTTTTGTCAGTGTGATTATAAGTCACAGGTTGCCATGATGCTTAGAGGCAACTCTGGTCTTGAATGGTATTTTTTTTTCTCTCAGATACATTTCTGGAAGATTCCAATGAATTCCACTTTCATGATGAACACATTAAGATCAAATTTGAAGATATTTTTCAACCCAGAGTTTTGCAGGCTGACTGCACACAACTGATACTGCCAAATTTGAGACACAAAACTGACCTGAATTTATCTATTTCCTTATAAATTGACCATTAGCTTCCAGGCTAATGCAACGCTTTGACGCTCTGTCTCAATCTGTCTCCTTCCCTCTTCCCTCTGGGTTTTTGCAAATTTCACGTAACTCTCATGGACGCAAACAATTGGCACAGTCAGAAAGCAGAAGGGATACATTTTATCCAACACAACCTAAGCCCGAAGCTTTACACAAGAAAATGACCCCAAACTGACCTGAAACCTGCTACTTTGCTCGGACCCCTGAGGTTCAGACCTGGCGGCAGAAATCTTGCAGATACCACCGTGTTTTAGATATTCTCCCTAATTCCAAACTGTCACTGTCGCATTGAAGAAACAGAAAACAGAAAACAATAAATACACTGTTGTTGCATGGTAATGTAGTGCAGATGTTTCACACCAAGCTGCATTTACAACTACATTATGATGCAGTAATGATGCAACTGAACAATAGAAAGAGCAGAGAAATAAATGGAAACCAATGGCTGCTTGGAACAAAGAATATATTTAAAGCTGCTCAAGTCAATATTATTCTATGAACAATAAATGAAATGACTTTGGGTAATGTGATAGATTGAAATAAATTCCAATACTGCAGTTCTCCTCAGCTGTAGAAAGAATTTTAGCATACTGTAGAACTTCAATTAGTAGCCCTGGCTTCTAGCCCCTCGCCCTGCAGAAACTGTATATAGGACAGGCCTCTAACCCCTTTCACACAAAACTCTTGCCCAGCAAAGATGGGAAATAAGCTACTATCAAATTGTTTACTTCAACCTTCTGAATATTACTTGTACAACAATTTGGCTGTTTTTGTCTCACTTGTTTACCATATGGGTAAATCTGAATTGTTTCCAGAAAATTAACTGAACAACTGAATTGTGGAGAATCTAATCGATTTAACGATTTGTAGCATGTCCATATTGACAAACGTTTAAACATTCATATTGTAACTCAATTATTTGCTCAACCCCTCAGCCTGTTTTTATTTTCCATTTAACTCTTTTAACCCTGATTGTACACTGCACTGTAACTTTTATTATGTTTTAATGTGTATTTTTTCAATTTCCCTATGTAGATATAGAAGGAAATACTGGACTACTGTCAGATGTCCAGAAACACAACATTTTCTTTTTTCCTTGTGAAAAATAAAAACTGGATTCTTTTAACGCCGCAGTATCAGAAAAATCATTATTTGGGTGAATTGCTCACAGAATTCTACATATGAATTCCCTGTTTGGTAACATACATGGTGAACTGCACACTGTAATCAGCAGCTCAGTCTTGCAGAAACACTATTGTCCCGTATCAATGAGACAGATGTCCGAGGAGTGTTTTTGAACTACATGAGCAATTTCACACATTAGGAGGACTTGCTAGCCAGCATAAGCTAATGTATGTTTCCTCCGGTCACCACAGTGATGGTGATAGCCTCTCACCATCCTGACAGGCCAGTCCAGTTAGCTGTGGACAGTCACACAAGCAGAAAAGACTTGTAAGCAAACTGGTCCTCACTGAAGTAACATTTAGCAGATGTGCATGATATCCAGTGTGGTCTGAGTGAGAAACTGTGTCTTTCACTCATTGGTAGCAACATGCTGATTATCCTCAGGGTTCAGGCGACATGTCACTCACCACATTCACACAAGTCACAAACGGTACCATTTGAAAAGATAAATTACTGTATATGAATGTGTCAGGATGATAATTACAAGTAACTTCACATCATTTTGATGAAAGTAAACAGTAAAGATCCTTACATTTCACTTCCGCTCGCAAACATAAAGGACATCGCCACTGATTTTACACACAAAGTCTGTTTACATGTGTGTTTGTGAAAAAAAAAAAGTTGTATGAAGTCTTTCTAGGCTCCAGAGGGAGCTGTGTGAAATCTGATTAGCATCAGATGGTATTGTTGGTCATTTGAAAACACCAAAAACTGAGGTTGTTGAATTAGAAATAAAAGTTATGTTAACAGAGCTCTGTAGCCCGCTCCTCATCTTTGCTTGAGGCTACATTAGCCGCTATCAGCAGAATGCACCCAAATCACCCACTGAACTGTTGGCAGCCACGTTGCATAGTGGGTAAGGTAGGCGCCAGGTTTTGACAAGAATGAACAATGAGTGGAGTAACCATCCATCTGATAATGTTATTAGGAGCTCAATGCTAAAACAAATTTTGTGTTTTTGACATTATTTGTGGTCAGATTTCCCCCCAGCAAGATTTAATGTATTTATATTCAGTAATCATCTCTCTTTATAGTAGGCTTGTTTTTATTTGTAATCACGGATTCACCGGATTCAAACTGCCTATGGTCGCACCAGAGAATCACTGGACATGATGCATGCATGTAATCCAGCATTACTGTTTTAAATCCTGTCTCACTGATATCACTGTTAACTGTTTTCCTACTGCTGCTGATTAGTGACTGTACAATATAATATTGGCCATAACCTTAATCCATATGCATAACTCACGTAGAACTTAGAACAGTGGTTCTCTAAGTGGGGTTCGGGAATTTGAGGGAGTTCCAGAGGGTCCCCAGCAAAAACGGGAATAATTTCTTGGCACTATGATTGCATCCATGTGTAACATAATGACAGGATGCCACGGTTCCATCGACTTTATGTAATAAAACATCCAAAAGCAAAAAACCTATCAGATGCTGGACCCTGGGACAAAGTCAAAAGGGGGTCCATGGTCTAAATTGTATCAGTTTAGGGGTCCTTCACATGAAAAAGAACCACTGACTTAGATTAGGGTGGTTTTGGCTTTTTAGCTGCTGCCTAAGCAATTACCCCGCCCCCCCCTTTGCAGTTAAATTGTCATTGTTTCATTAATTTATACAGCACATTGCATTGCAGTTATTTTAGTGCTAATTCAAGCTAATTCCACACAAACAACTTCATTCAAAAATCATTTCTGCAGAATAACACATCACTGAGTGGACCATGGTCATATATCTGCCCTGTGCATATGTGATTTCTCTCTCTCTCTCTCTCTCTCTCTATATATATATATATATATATAATTACTTCAGAGCTGCTCTTAAAGGTTAATCACTTCACTTCAAGTATAAGGCCCTTGGTGTATGAGTCATTCTCCACTTTAGTTCTCCTATATCAATTCTTCAGAACACTCAAGTGTAATTTTACAAATTAGATAAAAACTAAGCAAAAAATATCCTGAGTTACTCACTTAAAGCTATGAGATAAACTCATTTCCTCACAGAGATCATTTTCTACAACTCATTGCATATAAATGATGCAGGATAACGCTCAACCTCCCAAAAGCAGTATTTACTTTTCAAGAAAACACTGCCCCCTTGTGGTTGAAAACTAAACATATTTTTTACCTGGGCATAGAGAATTATATCTTGTTTTTCATTGGTACAGAATATAAATTAAGAGCAAATTTTGACGATTTCAATGGAAGGAATCAGAACCATGCACAGCGGCTCCACAGGACTTCCAGTATTATGCAATTAACCTGCAGGGTGACAACCTTGTTCTCATTGTAGGCCAGTAGCCTTTGGATGAGATCCAAACAGAATACACCTGCTGAGTTCATCAACCCTGGCGGCTGGTAAAAATCACTGGTCTAGGCCATGAACTCTTCAAGGTTACCAACTTGCAAATTCACAGCCAGTAAAAAGGCTAAGAATTACAATTAACAATATAACCACTCGGGAATCACTTTGATTTTATATTCATTTATTTAAAAAAATCCAGACACATCTTTAAATATTGAGAGGACATGCAAAGGGAGAATTGTGGGCACTGCAGTCATCCACCTTATCATGGCAAAAACAAAACGCATGAGCCTACGCACTTAAGACATGTTAGTCAACTAAACCGTGTCCAGTATCAGGAGTACAGATGTTGGTTGGTGCCCGACGGTGCCTCCGATATGATTTACATGAATCATAACGCAGATTCTACAGGTGAACCTGACAACAGCCAGTCTCAGCTGAACTTTGCTTTAGAGAAATCCATCTCTGGGTGCTGCGCCATGAACCTGCAGAGACAGATGTCAGAGTCACAAACAAGAAAACACGTGCTCAAAGCAAGATGCAGCCAGTCTTAATTCAAATCATATTTCCAACTACTTTAATACCGAATCATTTCAATATCACAATGAATTGTTTTTTCAGGATATGAGCAATTCCTCATGGCATTTAGATATACTTTTTCTAAATGACAGACTGGTGTTGGTGGATGTCACTTTTGTTTTCTCATCTATTTCTCCACATGTCTATTAGTTTCTTTAATCTTTTTAAATGCTTTAGAAAATATTCATGACACCTCTGAGATGACACCATCAGACAGCACATTTGATTGGACAGACACAATGTCAACTTTGTTTCAATAAAACAACTGTGAGCACAGAGATCTTGACTACGGTCACCACAGTAGTTCTGTTTAACCCATAAAGACTATACAAGACCTTTAGACACCAATTTAACAAGCTCAAAGGAAGGAAGTGGTGGCCATCTCAGCAGCAGACATGTTTCCTGAGGTCCGAACTGAGAGGAACCGGCCATTTACAACCAAACAGGGATAAAAGAGCGTCCTCCACAGCTCTGACATGTTCTGAACAATCTTGTCACATTATATGTTCACAAGGTTAATACAACCCTGCATTTTAAGCATGGAGTTGTAGCAGTTCTTTAATATGCAAATTAAAACAGCACACTGGTGTTTTTTAGTTTAGCCCTATTGCCAAGGCATTTTGTGATAACTGGCTTCGGCCGATACCTGCACTCATTAGTTAGCGTTCTCCCTGGTGAGTTTTGGAAAGGTGATGAAAAAGTTTGTTTGGACCTCACCCAGTCACCTTCTTTTCTAAATGTCAGCAGATCTAATCTAAAACCATTACTGCCTAGTGTTAAATATCTTATTGTTAATTTGTAGAGAATCATGGAGCTGTACAGTCACTAAAAAAAAATGTTTATTTTCAATTTCAAATTCCATCTAAAACAACACGTTACTGGCCAAGAAAACTATGTATATTAGTTTGTTCTCTGCATGGAATAAACAGGTTTTATTTGATATCTGAATTATGTAACGGCCATCGGCTGCCCCGCTTTCTAAATATCAGCTATTTGTAGTCCCAATTTGTAGTCAATGGGCTAAAACATGCAAAACCACAGTAATACCTTTAAAGCTCTCAAAAACTCACTTGGATCATCTGGAAGCCCTGTAGTCTAAATGAGGTTCCCTATTAGTATTGTACTTGAGTTACCATGTAACACCATCAGAGAGGGAAATTTAAACAAAAGATAATATGCCAGTTGCTAACTGATTGAGAGTGAAAGATTACAACTGGTCATGTGTCTATTTGAACAAAGTCACGTCTGCACACAACACACCATCCGCCATCACCAACAGTTACAGCAGGTGAGCTTGGCCTTGTGCAGAAATAGCCAACACAGAGGGCAAAACTAGACAGGCAGCTTTCAAATGCACTCAGATCTTTATACATCATAAAGCTTCTGTCAAACTGACTGTGGATACAGTATACCCAATAAAACACCAAATATGTCAGCTGACAGCGAACGAAAAGATTTTTATAGCCAACACCAAAGACTTACTTTTTAAGAATGTCTTGTTTCTTCTGCTCTTCAGATGTAGGCAGGCCCATTGATTTCTGCCGTTGGTCATACATCATCTTCTCCACCATACCACGCGTCTCTCCATCCAGGTCTGACAGCTGCTCAGCAGGAAAAACACACAGTGAGGGTGGGGCAGGATATGGTAATGCATTTGTACATGAGGAAGAACACAGCTAAAGACTTAAAAATTTCCACCCCTTACCTTGGAGTTCTCTGGACAGACTTTCTTGGTGTTAATTTCTGGATCTGTGGTAACAATCCTGCTCCACCACTCCATTTTATTTATCTGAAATGACAGAATATGAATCGGGCTCATCAACTCAGCAGGAATTTCTCTCTCTTCATCACACATAATTTGTTTACATAAACCCGCACACACTCTGTTCTTACCTTTTCCAGGTGGACTGTAACAACTTTGCCGTCGTCGATGAGCCAGGAGCTTTCCTCTACCTTCACCTCGTTGTAAAGCTGGCCGTCAATAACAGGAGGGTGTCCCTTCAGGCCGACCTTGATGGAGCGTCGCTGGATGTCCACCACTACATCTCTCCCCTTAATGCGGAACTTCACATCGAAAGGCACAGCCAGCTGAAGGAGGACATTAAAATTTATATTTGATATTAGATCCAGTTTTATTCACGGTCACACGTAAAAGATTCGCCTGCTGCTGCACTGGATCTAGGCAGATAAAGGATGCCATCATACCAACAGCTCTTCTGGAAGTTTCACATTTGTTGGTTGGGTTGGATGTACAAACATGCTTCGACAAGTCACCCATGGATGAACGGTGACAGCTACATTTAGTAAACGTAGCCAATTACATATTACACAATGATTTAAACATCTGCAGAAATCTGTGTGCGCCACAAATAAAGCCACTTGTCAAAGAAAAACCAGTGTTTCTCTGTGAAACCTCTTTAGTAACGGATATAAAATGTTGTTTGTCAAACAAAGATCATTTATGTTGTCTTGTGGAGAAAAAGGTGTTACCATTCAAAAAAAGCTGTAGCCCCGATTTTCTGTACAACCTGTAAATAAAGTGCAACGCCCACATGGTGATTGATGTGACCTCTGAGCACACACTGGACATGCCCCAATCAAAAGAAAAAGAGTGTGGTCTTACATACAAAAGAATGGGTTATGGTGTTTTGACACACGTCATCCGCTGCTGGTGTGTGTGGCAGCTACAGTCGATGTTTTAATAAAAAAACATTGATTACAGAAGTGAAAATGTGAAAGGGATCGCTCGTAGTGATAAACGAACAGAGACTTATCTTCTGAATCTGCAGCTCCCCTCGGCTTTAAGCAGCTTTATAGAGAATATCAGCTCATTGTTTAGCTGTCCACCTGCAACCTTACTGTTTTAGTTCACTCTCACTGCTCTCATAGCGTCGTTTTCAGCCGAAGGAGGCAGCTGTTTTCAGCAAATAAAATTACATTTAGCCCCAATAAGTAGACAGACAAAGCTAGCGACTAGATGGTGAATATTTAGCTGCCAGATATTGCCCTCAGAGTGAATATTGGACTTACATTATTAATTCGGACACAAACACCACCCAATGCTGAATGTGTAAATAAGCAACGGTTTCCTAACAAGTTCACCATATCAATGCAAAAGGTGTTTCTTGTTGTTTCCGTTGCCCCCAAGTGACCAAAAACTCAGATATTGCCGGTTTAAGAGAGAAATGCTTTTACAAACAAGCACATAACCTCCCTTTGAAGAACGAGCTATAGGGCAACATTGCTAGGGTTCTGAATTCCACCAGCCATTCTGCATAACAAGGCCTTTCCTGCCCAGTAAAGGGTGTGTGCAAATACTACTGATGACATTCAAGTGAACACCGCGATCTTTCAACATCTTTGAAAAAAATAAAAATAAAATCAGGCAAAAGTCTGAATAAAAATATGAAAACATGTCATGTTAAATATGGGAAGTACTGGGCAGACAAGTGGTGCAGGCGGCAAGCACTTGCTCGTCACAATAGAGGTCTACATACAAGTCTGAACATCTAGGCCTGTTATTACAGAAAATGAGGGGAGGGTCTATCTCGCGATATGCTGCTGACTCGAGGGTCACCTTCTCTGAGAGGCTTAGTAAACACAAACTGGTGAAGCAGAAGAATTCCACAGAGATGATCAAGTATCAAAGCATTATCCTGAAGTCATAGAGGCACTCACATCAACTTCAGACAGGGTCTGTGTCCACTTGTAGTTTGGCAGGTCAGCTCCGTTTCCTGCATTAGGCTTCAGTTTGTCTTTGTCCTTCTCATCCTCCTCTCCTTCTGAGTCAGACTGGGGAAATGGGAATTGGTGTGAGTACGTCGGCAGAACCAGATTTTGCTGCTCATCAGCACCGAACTCTTCATCATTTCACGCTGTCTAACTGTTGTGCACTCACCCCCTTCTCTTTTTCTGCTTTGTCAGATGACTTTTCTGCATTTGTTGTTACATCCACCATTTTCTCCTCTTCTTTCTTTTTCTAAAACAGATTACACAAAATAAATACATCCACTACTCATAACAAAACTACTGCAGTTTTTTTATTATAACAGAGCAACAACATTTTACCTTGTCAAGTTCAGACTGAAGTTTCTCTGCTTCTTCGTCAGTCAGCTCCTGAATTCTGGGGACGTCGTCACTTTTCTTCTTCCTCTCTTCCTCTGCTAGCTTGGCAGCTCGTTCGGCTTTCTCTTTCTTTTCCTTCTCCTGTTTCATCTGCCTCTCTTTGTGGGCCTTCTGCGCTAGCTTATTGTGGTGGGCAAAAGCATCTTTGACTAGCTGAAAGAAAGCGAAAGAGAGTCATGAGGGATAAGTGGGGGTGTGCCTCTCACTGCATACTACAATAGGTAGACTCGCATGTCACAGAAGCTCCAGATACAGAAGCACTGCTCACCTTCTCTGGAGCACCTGACTCGGCACCGGTGAAGAAATCGGTTTTGCGGCGGAGGAAGCTGAAAAATGTGTTTACCAACTGTGGAGAGAAAAATAGCCTGTCAGTAATTCCATCCAACAAGTTATGACTTTCATTTGCACTTGATTGGCATGACTACGTGTGACATTTGACGTCACCCAAACATGACCCAGCATCTCAGTGCTCACGTTACAACTGTATAATGACTACTCACAACATCTTCTTCCAGTAAAATACAACCTCTAGAAAATGAGTTTAACGAGAACTAAATTGTAACGTTATTCTACAGCTGTTTAGTGCTGCTTTGTTAGTCACATGTGCCGAATTCGAGGAGCAGCACACCTATTAAAGACGAAAGGTTAGGCTGTCCAGCAAAGAAGCACATTGATAATGAGAACAGCATTTGCCAAAACCTGTACAACAGCTGACAACATTTGCCTTTTCGGTATGTGAAACCATCCAGGCGAGATGTGCCTACTAGCTTACAGGCTAACTGCGTTAGCTTCAACATTAGCACGATAGCTGTAGTTTGTTAGCAACACACTGAGTTACCTCTTGTACCCCTCCTTCGTGCTGTTGCGCCATAACAAGCAGCATGCCGTCATACTTCTCTTCATCATCACCCATACTTGTGGATTAATGAAAAGATTGAATAAACTGCTAGCGGTGAAATGACAAGGGAAAAGTTGAGTTAGCGACAATGTGAGGCCCGTAGTCACGTTACTCACTTCCTGGAAACAAACTCCGCCTACGATTGTTTTGACCAATTGGAAGAATATATTTTAAATGACAGGCGAGATATCAAATAAAGTGAGAGTATTGTGTCAGAGCGGGACTGAGGCGTCCAGGAAGAAGGAGAATTTTCTAGAGAGGGAGAGAAAAAATATTTTACAGTTGCCCTCCTGAGTTCACAGGTTCATAGAAACAATGTAGTGGACATTTATAATATTACATAGCATAAATCCAGGATACTATACCTGCTGCATTAAATAGAGAAAACGCTGATGCGCTTCTGGCCACACCAATCACTGATTTTACAACAGGTGTTTTCCATCATCTGTTACACACAAAGCACCGACTAGGGATGGGGATACCAAACTTTTAAACTTCAATATGATACTTTTTGTTACATTTTTATGAACCAATACTGATCATTTCTTAAATGGGTATGTTCAAAATAATAGTAATTTTTAGATTAATAGTTTAAGAGGTTTAATCAAGCACAAAATCAAACATTTGTGTGGGTTAGGGGCTTTTCTTTTTCATTTAAAGTAATTTAAAGATGTCACCTAGGGCTTTCAGAACTTGTGATGAGCATTTGTTTTTTACTTTCATAGGCAAAATATTCAAAATTAAACCACAAATGAATGATAATGAAAATAATCACTAACTGCAGCACAATTCTAATCAGTAAACGTTACGCTAACGTTGCTATGTGGCTGTGTTTTAATGTTTTAATGACCGGTCCGTTTGTTTTGGAGAGGAGACGACCTCCGAGGTAATTTGGCTTCCCGTAGAACCCTGTCAGGTCAAGTTGAGCGGACCCAGAACAACTCTCATCAGCTGTTAGCTGTAAACACTAGCAAGACTAAAGTTACTGTACGGCTGTGTTAAAACTATAGCACTATTCCTACCTGCTGTCCCAGGTGGAGGGCCAGATCTTTCACTCGCACCCCGCCCTGTGGCAGCTGTGGGTCTGGCCCCTGAGGGGGCGCAGTTCTTAGAGGCGGGTCTGACGACAGGAGCAGTCGCTGCTCAGCTCCAGAGCCCCGTCCACGAGAAGGATGTACGGCCTAAAGTGGAATGTGTTCACCACCTGGTGCAGAGAACGGGCGGTGGACCCAGTTACCTGCTCGGTAATTGTGATACTGGAGTTCCTCTAGCACCGTTTCTCCGCTGGCCTCTCCCCGTCCACGCTCAAAGTATATGTGGCTGCCATTGCAGCATTCCACGCCCCTCTGAGTGATGGGCCCTTCGGGAGACTTCCGCTGGTCGTGCGCTTCCTCCGTGGAGCCTGGAGGATGAGACCCATTACTCATTCCAGGGTTCCCACCTGGGACCTGGCAGTGATTCTCGAAGCGCTGGCTGAGGCCCCCTTCGAACACCTGGAGTCGGCTGAGGCCAAGCACTTGACCCTTAAAATGACCTTTCTCCTCGCTATCACCTCTCTGAGGAGGGTGGGGGATCTCCAGGCACTGTCGGTGTCTCCCCGATGCCTGGCGTTTGCCCCGGGGAGGGTCAGGGCCATCCTGCACCCTTGTCCAGGTTATGTCCCTAAGGTTCCGGCCAGACTGGCAGGGTCCATGGTGCTGCAGGCGTTTCATCCCCCACCTCATGTGACGGCGGAGGACGGGAGACTTCATCTGCTCTGCCCTGTCAGAGCACTGAGTATTTACACTCTGAGGTCTTCCCGGTGGAGGAAAGCAGACCAGTTGCTGGTGTGTTTCGGGTCCCCCAAGGCTGGGCTCCCACGCTTCTAAACACACCATCAGCAACTGGATCGTTCAGACTATTTCCCTGGCCTATCAGGTGCGCAGTTTGCCTTCACCTATAGCCGTAAGGGCGCACTCTACTCGAGGCATGGGGCGTCACTCCAGGATTTGTGTGATGCGGCTGGCTGGGCCACCCCTCACACTTTTATCCGGTTTTACAGTCTGGACCTGCCTTCTGCACCCGGCACCCGTGCGCTCTCCTCCTAGTCGTGCCATCAGGTTCTGCACGCTGGGGGCAGGCGGGGTTTCGGCGTGGCCTAAGTGGGTATCTCGTTCCCATAGTATCGTCACCGACGCAGTTCGAGTTCCCTCGAAGGGGAACGTCTCGGGTTATGTATGTAACCCTTGTTCCCCGATAAGGGGAACGAGACACTGCGTCGGTCCACCACACCTCACCCCGCCTGGAGTGCCTTGCTTCATAGAAAGGGCTAATGTGTCTTATGTGCCGGCGTGCTTATATACCCCCTCCGGTTACGCCGTCACACACTACCGTTCTAGTAACACCAATAGGATTGGAGTAGTTTCATTCATAGTTCAGCCCTGCCACACCCAGGGGCGTTCCCATAGTGTCGTCACCGACGCAGTGTCTGGTTCCCCTTCTCGGGGAACAAGGGTTACATACGTAACCCGAGACGTTCTTCTTCCTGCACCTTGGTTCATGTTTTAGTATTTACTTCAGGTTCCTTGTCTACATTATTTTGGGTTTAGTCTCCTTTGTACTTTAGCTCTGTGTTCTCCTTTTGAGTTCTTGTTCATTGTTACATGTGTGTTTCTGTCTTATTGGTTATTCTCTCTGCCCCATGTCTGCTTGTCTAGTATTCAGTAACCTTGTCTTGTCTGTTACCCCAGTGATCCCTCTGCATGTCTGTCTTTGTTTTCCCCTTCTCTCTCTCTGCCTGCCTGCCTGCCTGTCCCTCGTTAACCCTGATCTCTGTCACCTGTGTTGCTCCCGCCCTGCTTGTTAGTCCCTGTGTATATATACCTGGTGTTTCTGTCTTGTCTTTGTCGGTTCATTACTTTCTATGTGTGTTATGATCCCTTGTTGTCTGCCTACTTGTTGTGTTTCCCCTGCACTGTTGGATTTCTATTTCTGTTTGGACAGCTTTTGTGTTTCTGGACTTTGTCATCAGCCACTCAGTTTGTGAGTGTGCTCGCTTTTTTTTGCCTTTGAATAAACCGTCTGTACTTTACCTGCTAGCCTACGTGTCCTGTGTTTGGGTCCTCCAACTTGCTCAACTCTGCCATAACCACCACTGAACGTAACAAAAACAGCCTAACCTTAACAGGATGCAGTTGCTCAAATGAAGTTTGGGACAGTTTGTTTTGCCTATAACAAGAAAAAAACTAGACTAAAGGTGTGATAAGGGAATTTTTGTTGGGTACGACAAAACTTAAGACCACTGCATATGCGGGCAAATTGACACGAATACCAAAGAAAATAAGACTAAATTCATTCTGTTGAATCTGTGGAATTCTTTAAAGTGTAGGCTTATGGCTGCTGAAGCCAGCCATAACCAACTTTTGACTGGGGTAAGGGAAGATGGTTTCTCTCCATGAAGACAGCAACAAAAAAACCATACGTTTTAAAACCCGGGCCTGTAGTTAAAGCACTTCCTTTCTAGGTTGACCTTTGTGGTGAGAAGCACTAAAAATAACCATGTCACATACGTTTTAAAACCCGGGCCTGTAGTTAAAGCACTTCCTTTCTAGGTTGACTTTTGTGGTGAGAAGCACTAAAAAAAACTCCTTTGGTAACACACTCTCTATCAGCACACACCTCGCTATGTCAAATAGGGTGCGCAAATTTTGCTCAGCAGTGCCATTTTGGTGGGGCAAGTACGGTGCCTGGTAACTTCTTCCTATGAACTCTGTACCATTGTCAGATCTGATACATTTTACCTTCCCATATAGGGCTGTTTCAGCAAGAAATGTTTCTGTTGCTTGCACTGTGTTACTCTTATGTTTCACTCTATGAGAGTACTATCGCACACTTTTTTATGTTTTAAATTATCACCTGCCACCTTAATTTTGTTTCCCTTACATAAAAAAAGACATTTCCACCAGAAATTGGTGCAGAAAATGTCTTCAGTAATTTAAGGGTTTGGAGGAGGACCCCCTAGACCCCCCACCCATATCCATATTTAAACACTGTATATTTCTTCAAAATACTGGTAAAATATCTAGTCTTGTTCTCGTGACCTAAGTGTATCATAACACCCCCAATCTGAGCCTTTATGTCCCCACAACTTTTCAACACAAAGTGATACCCATGTTGATAGCAATCAACAAACTTTTGAAATGTTTAACTTGTTGTTCTGCATGAATAGTTATAATTATGACAAGTTAGTACTTAGCAGTAACAAATCAGAGACTGACCACCATGTTCAGCATTTTTATTGAACAATAATTTAATAAATGAAAACAATACACAAAAATGAAACCGCTGTTTTGTCCAACTGTAATTAATATAACTAGTGGTGCAAATAAACCTTTCACAAAACATTTTTAGTTCTTAGTTAACATTTCTTGGTGCAAGCTGTTTTTCAGAACATATTTTATTTATTTATTACAAATGATCCTTTTTAAAAGTGATGGGGACAAAATAAGCCATTTTAAAAAGTGGTGTGGACATATACCCATCGTCCCTAGTCTAAATGACACTTTTGACCACATCCAAAGTTTCAAAGTCTCAACATGGCCCCCTGGCCTGGTGGGTGGGTGTGTGTTAAGGTCACCGAGGTCCGGACCTCAGTAATTATATGTTGGTTATAGCCTATCAATGAAATCATTCGAATAAAAACCATTGATAACTAGATCAATTTAAATGAAGGCTTTAGGGACATGGGGGCGCAGCTGATAATATCTTCGCAACCCTCATTTTAATTTGAAAAACTCTTCCACGATCAGTGTTCACACTTGGGGAAACACATGAAAACCTTGTATGCACAATAACTGAGAACACCACTGTTGGCAGAGTTTTGGGCGATATGTTTAGTGAATTTCCGAATGGGTTGGGGGAAGCGTCTCTGCATTACTTGCGTGCGCATAACTTTATATTTAAATCCACTGACAAAATCGGCCAGAATCTAATGTTAGCCTAATTATGTTCTGTATTCTTTCCCACATCCAAAAGGTCTCACACACAGTCCAGGTTCATACAGAGAAACTGTCTGGAGTGAAGCAGCCGTCCTCCAGATAAATCCTGCGCTCCATCAGCGTTTAAATTATTTCAGAAGTATGTTTCCTCTGTCCTGTGCCAATCCGTGCATCACATGAATGTAGCTCCTGTAATCGTGACATCATCCTCTGAATTCAGCATTTTATTTTATGCAATTTAGTGAGCCAAGCAGTGGGGAGAAAGACCATGAAGTACAGCCTTTAGTTAGGGTGTCCCCTGCGCAGTTTAAGCTTTCACTGCGCAACGACACACACACACAGAAGAAGAGAGCAAAAGTTTGCTTTAATAAAATATTTTTTTGCCAACGGGTCTTTGTATGTATTTCCTTATAGATCATTAGTTTGTGTGACTGTAGTGTATAATTTTGGTTGTGTTTAGGTGTAATTTTGGTATGAATCACCATAAATAACCCCTATTAAAAAAATAATAATCTGGACCTGCAATAGTCTGTGTAGAGACACACAGGAAGCGAACTTACTGGAACCACCTCAAACACATCTGCCTGCTTTCAGGAGTGTGGGGACTGACTCAATCTAAACCCACATCTAGTCATCACTGATTTACTTACTTCTACTCCTGTTACTGTCACAGGGCTTTTGGACGTGTTACCATACCATTGTTCAAACTGCAGTAAACTATGGCTGGAGACAGTAGAAGCATCACTGCTGCCCTTCAGCAGTATGTCCTAAACCTTATCTCTCAGTTTGATGTACAGCTGGGCTATGAGGAACCTCACGGGGTGGTTGTTCTCATTTACTGTGCCGGAGAGAGGCTTGGTGTAATTTCCATCACTACACTGCTAAGGAGGATCTTCAACATCAACGGAGCAGAGTAACAGGTCATGGTGACATCCGAGACAAGTGCTGCACTGTTGGTAAGTCTTTTCAAGACTCGCACCTCCTTTCAAGGACTGATTTAAAGCAAATTATCGACTGTCAATCTCACAGTCAAAACTTCGCAGTGATGCCATTTTGGTGATATGGGGGTGCTCAATGTGTGATTTTACATAGGACTACCATTTATTTCCCAATAAGTTAATATGCAGCCTATTACAATATACATTTCAACGTTTAATGCTGTAAATAAACATGTGAAAAGAATAAAACTTTCAATAATTTATTTTAAAGTGCGAGGACTTGATGATTCTGATTTGAGTATGTAAATCCTTATTCGGGGGCAGCCCTAGTAAGTTGAATATAGTTGTGTGTAACTGAATACATTTAAATATTTGTTAATAGTATTTATTTATTAATAATCAATTTTAATTATGAAAAATTAGTGTTAACCTGTGTTTTATACAGTAGCTATGTGTTTGCAATAGAATTTAAAATGTTACTCAGAAACCTACTTACTCACTGGTAATAGGTTTGCAAAAACATGCACCTGTCAAGAAAAACCGCTTATAAAATATCTTGATAACCTGAGGTGAGTAAGCAACTTGTCTGAAGGTTAAACATTGTCTTTCAGCATGACTTTACTGAAATAATCCTAACAATCCTGTTTTGTTTTAATTTTCAGACTTGATTTTAACTCCGTTCGAAAGGCCCTGGCGCGGACTAGGAATCCAATGATAATGCTTTGTAACTACACCAGGCAACACCACAACAACAAGAAAATACACAGGCCGTGCGGTACCGGTGTGCCCATCAAATGCTTCCATGTGACTCTGTCAATTAATAAAATTAAGTAAATAAATTTTGGTGATATTGGTCTGTTGTCAATACTATGCTGTAATCTGGGGTAATTTTTTAGCTAACTAGTTAGGCTGGGTTGAGAGCTTTAATTAATAGCATCAGTGTTTTCATTGTTGGCTGTTGGTCTTTTTTTTCCTCTGAGAAACTTATTGAGAATCACAACCTGATCAAAATGGTTAGAGCAAAAATCACAACTCTGAATTAATCAACTAGGGTAAGCTGCTGTCATTAACACCGTACTTCATTTTGATGCTGAGTAATAAACTTGCAGTCTATAAGGTAATAAACCAAGCCCACACCTAGCTAGTTAGACAGTTAGTAGGTAGCATGCGCAGTCTTGATAAGCTAGATAAATAATAGATGTTAGACTGGGGTTGCATTTCAATGTTGTAGCACTTTTTGCTAGCTAGAGTTCTCAAATTTTTATACAAAGTACCCACATTTGTTCACTACAAATGGCACAAATTCAATCCTCTACAAGAATCACAGACTTCGTGAGTTGATGTCAAATGCATTGTGTTCACTTGTTACAATCTACTCCAATACCGGGTTTGTAACAATAAGACAAAAGAAGCAAAAATAGATGCCACACTATGATATGATTCAAAAACAGCTAGTGATATAAAAAAACTACGGGGGATGAGGAAAAGAAGGTCAAACGCAACAACATTGTGATTCCATATGTGTCTGGAGTATCAGAGAAACTCAGGAGGATTTTCAACAAACACAACATCCCTGTGTTTTTTAAACCCAAGAACACACTAAGACAGATGCTGGTACACCCCAAAGACCGCACACCCAAACACAAGAAAAGCAATCTAGTGTATGCGGTCCAATGCAGTGAGGAATGCACAGACCTGTATATTGGGGAGACTAAACAACCACTACACAAACGCATGGCTCAACACAGAAGGGCCAACTCCTCAGGTCAAGACTCTGCTGTCTACTTACATCTGAAGGACAGAGGACACTCGTTTGAGGACCACCAGGTGCACATTTTAGACAGAGAAGATGGATGGTTTGAAAGAGGTGTCAAGGAAGCCATCTACACCAGGGTGGAGAAGCCGTCATTGAACAGGGGAGGGGGTCTACGCCACCACTTATCCCCACTTACAATGCTGTCCTTTCATCACTTCCCAGGAAACTCAACAAACTTAACCTGTTGGCCTCAGGTGAAGATACCAACGATGGTCGTTCAGTCTTGGCCTCAGGTGAAGATACCAACGATGGTCGTTCAGTCTTGGCCACAGGTAGTCTCAACGACTGTAACGACTGTCGTCACAGCAACAAGGAACACTAACGAACCAGCGGTATCGATGACCCGAGATAACGACCCCACTGAGGTTAAATAGCTGAGTTTCCCTGCCAGTCAGTCAGAACTGAAGAAGTCCTTTGGATAAGGGACGAAACGTCTTCCAGTAGTTTCAACCAAGTCCAGTTGCCCTTCATTTTAACCTTCGTTGGATAACTATGACCTGGATGACTGAGAATCTTCATAGACAAAAGAACAATGTTTCTCTCTCACCATAACAGACTTAGTCTGATGACTCACGCGCATGTAGGTGTATTTGTGGGTTTCAGTGTGTGTATATTCTTAATCAGAGTCACGTAACTATTGTCTTATCTCTGATTGGTGGAATTGGTGTTGTTGCAACCATCGTCCGTCTCCCTATCTGATTTGGACCACATTTGAAAGTCAAATCCAAACTCCAAAAGATCAGATTCCATGTGACTTGGGCTGTTCACACTGTTATAAAAAACCCCAGATCTGAGTCACATATGAGCAAAAAGGTTCAGTTTGGCCTGCAGTCTGAACGCAGCCGTAGTTTCTGTGTGTGTAAAGCCACAACTAGATAGCTGATTCAGATTCATTACAATGAAATGAAGGGATGAAAGGGAATTTTGAAACAAAATTTGAAATGAACTGTTTTGTTTATATATTTTCTATAATTTAAAACTTTGGGGCTCCGTAGCTTGTTTGTATCAGGTGAGTTTCAATACTTTGTTTGTGTAATTAAAATTTTTCATATTATTGATGTTGATTGAATTCATACTAAGTTATAATATTCATTTCTCCAAATCCTTCACAAACCAAGTCAAGTATTTACCAAATGTTAGCAATTTCCGGATAAAACTTTGTACGTTCATATTTTGCTGCCTCAATTACGATTATAGATGCAATCAACAAAAGCTGCTTAACAGTATTACCATTTCATCGGTTGTGTCGAAGAATAAGTCAGCTACCCATTTAAAATGTTACGAGTAAAAGTATTATTAACATACCCTGTGTTATGCATCATAAAAAGATCATTAATTATTAATTTAGTGCTAAGTAGACCACAGATATTTTCAGAAAGTAACAGGTGCTACAGGACAAGAGTTCACAGCTCTGTCTGTGGCCTAGATTACATATCTAGAGGAATTTACATGAACTGATTCCACCTTGATCAAGTTTGCAATTTTTTTTAAGGATTTCCAAAACTGAAAACTGGAGCTCGAACTGGCAGCACAGTTGTGATCCTTAAAACATAAAAAAACTTATTGTATCATGCAGGTCTAAGGTGTAACTGGGGCACAGGTCAGGTGGCAGTCTGTGCATTGACCCCGCCAGTCCTTGATAGACTGGTTCAGGCTGAGTTAATGACTCAGGTAAACATGATAAATGTCATTCACCCCGCCAGCTTCTGTATTTTCTTTAACTAGCCTTATCGCCGATACGTGGAACGAACCTAGATTCCTCTACATGAGTAGTCCACGGTCAGTTATTTATTTATTTTCTTTCAAATGCAGGGCCTTAAAAAAATAGGGTCAAGGCTGCATTTGGCGTGAGCAGGCGACATCCCGGATAAATAGAGCCTGAGCTTGTGGAATCGTGTGCAAGCCCTACATGGCATTGTTCATGCTTTCTGGAGCTTACTGCGGATACTTTTTCCTTCGTTATGTTTCCTCTAGAAGAGATTACAAACAATACTTGCTCTGGTTTCCGGGATAAGCATCCTCACACTATCCTTTACAACATCTTGAGCGGGAGGGAGAGTGGCTACCTCAACAGCAAACTGAACCATTGCGCCACGGAGCACAACTGCCACTGTGAGCAGAGGAGGACAGTTTGCCTTAAGGACCCAAAGGCCACTTGCCAAGTTGCCTCCAGTGTGCTGGTCAAAACCATCTGCTTTGTGAGAAGTTTACCATCCTTCAGTCAGCTTTCATCAGGGGATCAGTCGTCATTATTAAGACACTGCTGGGTTCCTTTATTTGTTCTAGGGCTCGCCCAAGAAAAGATAGTCTTCGAAGTGACTGATGTCCCAAATTCGAGTATTCTCCGACAGATTCTGCTCGGACCACGACTCCCCGAACAGGAGGCCGAGCAACCAACTCTTGCTGAAGTCCACAAACTGAGAGCTTGCTTGCATCTGCTGTGGAATCTGGATCTCAGTCCGAAGGAATATGCTTACCTGAAGGGTGTTTTATTGTTTAACCCAGGTAAAACACTTTTTTTTGTTAGTTTTAATTTAGCTTGTTGGATATGTGACATGATCTTTAACAAACACTTCTTTATGTTACAGCTGTTCAAGGACTGAGTGCCTTGTCGTTTGTTGAAGCCCTCCAACAAGAAGCCAAAAGAGCTCTCGAAGAAGTCATTCAACTCCTGCACCCAGAGGACACCGATCGCTTCAGCCACATCCTTCTAGCAGCCTACACCATTCAGACTGTCGGCTACAGCCTGGTCACAGAGCTCTTCTTCAAGCCAGTTATTGGCAACACAAATATGTTACATTTATTAACAAAGATGTTGTTTGTGCAATGAGATCCGTGTGAGAAAGCCTTATGTGAGTGAGTGTTATAAATATGAACTTTTATACAGTGAACTTAGATTGAAAAGCACATGAAATAAACCTTTAAATAAATACCATGAGTTTGATGAGGTTATGGTTTTAAGAATTGCATGACCTCTGTGAAAACATAAAAATCAACATTTGTGAGGAAATTATATAATTATCAGTAGTGTCCTAATAGAGAGGGGATTTGAAAGCAGCATGGTCTGATCTTAAAAGAAATGCATACTGTGTCTCCCTCATGTGGCTAACAATAAGCATTCAATTTCCTCTTTGTTTCACTTCATTCACTTTATTGTTTTTACAATGGGACATCAGTTAAAAGATTGTGCACTGTCAATTTAAGAACCCTTCAATACATCTTAGCTGGAAATATAAAGTAGCCTACCATACGTTGGTGAAAGATCCAAGCATTAGACTTTGGAATTTAGGAAACCTTCCAAGAAAATGAAAGCAAAATGCTATGCTTTAGCAGACAATTCACCCCATTCAGTGAAATAAGAAGTATGTTAGGATAGTTTCAGTTACACATTCATCACTTCTTAAATAGTGCAGTTGTATTTTCTGCTTCCTGGTAGAACACAGCGCAACCATGTTCACACCATTTCATTATAACCACCAAATACAAGAGCACAGATCCGGGGAGACAAGTGTAACCTGGACAGATAAACCATAAGGATGTGTGTATTAGCTATCCATGTGTATTAACTGCACTACAATAGGATCCATGACCAACAGTAATCATAAGCTAATGCTGATAAGGACACAGGGCTGAATAAATTTCACTGAGTCAGCTGGCCAAATTCCCATCAGCACCCAGGATCAAACACATCAAGCACGTTGGTGAAAAAAAACAGACATTCACTTAAAGAGTCGGCTCAGAATAATTTCACTAGTAAGTTATAGTTAAAGTACTTGACGCATATTTCAATTTGAGACTTGAGTTACAGACAGGACGGCCACAAACAGTATCCAGGATGCATCCCACTCCTGGTTAATTTAAAAGCATAAGAGCTAACTGCTTTATATGAGATTCAAGTTCTAACACTAATAATAATGTGCACACACTCCACATTGTATGAACATCAGAAGTAACAACAGAAAAAAGCATTTTTACATTCATTTTCCAAAGCTTTCAACTTGTCTTTCCATAGGGGGACAAACAAATGTTATTTACTTACTTTCTTGCCTAAAGAATATCACTCTCATATCTGTATGGAAAATGTAAAGCTACTGCCAAAAGCCAGTCAGCTTAGTATAAAGACTGGAAACAGTGGAAACCATGTTGCCTGGCTCTGAAATACACCCAACAAAAATTATGGCTCGACGCATAACCCCCTTTAAAACCACAACTTGTCTATTTCACACTTTGTTTCTCTGCGGAATAAAGAAACCAAACATAACGTGTTAATTAGTGAGCTTTAGAGGTGTTGCTAGGCAGATTTTGTGACCTTCGGACAGAACCAGGCTGGCTGGTTCCAATCTTTATGCTAAACTAAGCTAACTAACTGGCTGTGGTGTGTCATTCTCAACAAGAAAGCAAATGAGCATATTTCCCAAAAGGTCAAACTATTACGTTAAAAAAACAATATACATTCTTATTTCTAGTATACCACTAGGCACACAGAAAACACTCACCCCAATATTATAATTACAGAATTAATCATAATTATTAATTAAATCAATTACTTACAATTACAGTATTGCCACTTTTAAATGGTAAATGGTTGCATTTATAACGCTTAACAATTTTGTCTGTCACTCACACATTCACACACGCTACGATGGCAGCATGCAGGATGCTAACCAACCATTGGGAGCAATTTGGGGTTCAGTGTGTTGCCTCAGGACACTTCAACATGTGGGCATGTAGATCGAACCGCCAACCCTGTGATCAGAGGACGACCCCCTGAGCCACAGCAGCACTTCTAGGCAATGCTATGCCTGTTACATTAATATCAAATACATCAAACTATGGAAACTATCAGAACATCTCTGATCATTCATCTAGAATCATTGACTGTAAATGTGTGAGACATAACCACAGATTTGAAAGCATTGATACATTCAGTTGTTTTTTTTTGTTTTTTTTAAAATCACACAAATTTGTTGAAAATCAAATCTATGGTGATGAAATGTGCCCAAAAAAATACAACTATATTTTTTTTTTTACAAAACTAAATTCAAATGTCTTATGAATAACAACAGCAGGATAATCTGAACAGCAAATTAATACAATAGCTGCTGGTGATATCTGTCTGTAGGGCACACTCTCAATCAAACAATCCTTCAAATATACACATAATATTTATTAACCACAAATATCTACACACAGTGCCCTGAGTTCACTGAAGTCCTTCAGACAATGTGAATTTTCTTTCTTCACAGCAAAGCCATAGTCTCTACACAGAGCTTGGCTCCGCCAGATACTCCTGTGCAAGTAGCGTCGCCTTTCAATGTCCCATAAGTGACCTTGTGGACGCAGCATGGCAAGTAATTCAAGCATAGATCGCCAGTGTGGAGCAGGAATCATGTTCTCAGAGAGGTGCGAATTAGTGGGACACCTGAAGAATTAGGTTCTGTGTGAGACGGAGAGTAGGCTGTTGGAGAACTAGAAGTATGACCTATAACAACAACAACAACAAAAAGACAGAAATATGATTACATGATTATCCCTCGGCATTAATCTGGAGAGGAGACTGAGCATTCAGTCTGCTCCCTGCCTCCAGATTCACAGTGCACTGCAACTAGAAATCCTTTCACACTTACATCTGGGATATTGTCATTTAAAAAGAGGTAGCAGTAAGTTGGAAAGATGGTGAATAAAACAGGAAAACATTTATAAAAATGTCTTTCAGACAGCAAAAACTTATGCTTGCAGGTAGAGAACCTCACTTTATGCTATATAGCCAGATGCATAGATACACAATACAGGGCCTCATCACGCGTACAAACAGATTTGTTAAGTGGCACATACAACGGCATTCAATATTTTTCTCAAATTTAAAACAAAATTCCATAAGTGGTCAAAGCCTGTGGCAGGACAGAGAGTCTTTATTGTTTGACTTAAAGGTTTCCTGTTAAGTGTTTACATTACATTTACTCATTTAGCTGATGCTTTTATCCAAAGTTGCTATATATGTCAGTGGAGCAACTAGGGGTTAATGGGCTTGCTCAGGGATACACTGTGTCACAGTAGGAATCTAACCTGAGTCTCCCACACCAAAGGCATGTGTCTTATTCACTGCGCCATCACCACACCCATTAGTTGCAAATAGGAGCTAAGTTTTTACCCAGGGGCCCCTCTTTCGTTTGTTCTCCCAGACGCACGGATGCACGAGCACACAGGTGACCCGATACACATTCCTGCCGACAGTTTCACACTATTCTGCTGATCTACAGATGGCCAGCAAAGGCAGAGAATAAGAAGCCTGCTGGCAAGTAAACACGGATGAAAACAGCACAGGTTTCAAAGGCTGAATCCCGGGAAGTCCCGAGTGCCAAGGGCTGTCCAAATCAGCTGATCCCACAAGGGGGCGGACTTTGTGCAGACTTTATGAAGAAAAAAAATTTATGAGGAAGTCAAACCAGTGGTCGGCACTTCTGGGACATACAGTACATGCGTGACAGATTTCCCCTGTTGTACGTTAGTCCTTATAGGCAAGTCATGCAACTCGGCAGCCATCTTGGCAACGCCTCCGGGCAGCTATTTTGGACTAACTAAAGATCAGGCTCCTATCTGAATGAATGGGGAGAGAGCCAGAACTGCACTTTTACAGGTCACCAGGACATAAAATCTACGGGAACAGAATCAGCAGTAAAATCTAGGGCTGCACAATATATCCCCTGAGCATCGTCATCGCAATGTGCTCTTGCGCAATAGTCACATTGCAGAACAGTGCAATATCAAGCAAATCAAATTAACTCAACCAGCTCAAGTTTTTTTGCTGCTTGATGGAAAAGGAAAACTTGGACAGTTCTCATTTCAAGTTTGTCTGATGTAACATCATTTACTCTGATTTAAGAGTTATTGGATACACAGTTTGTAACTAGTGAGTGACAAGCAGGCAAGCAATCCCAATATTATTCTTGATCAGTTGATCAATTCTCCCTCACATCTGTGGAACCACAGGATTGGCTGAAATATGTTTCCAGCTTTGGCTGTTAAAAGCAGACGATTGGCTCTCTAGTGGGAGGGGCGGGATCACCACCATGTTCGCCATTACGGGCTTTCCCCATAGACTTGTATTGAGGATGTGATTGATTGGTTTGTCTCCTCTATAAAACGTTAAATGTCACTAATCAAACTACTGGGAATAAAATAAGTGCATGACACACTATTCAGATAAAACAAATGTTCATGAAAAACAAGAGTAGCCTACATCTTATGAATTTAACAGTAAGAATTTCTTACCTCCATTGTGCCGCCACATCTCTCTGGCACACTTGTCAGAGGAGGTCAACTCTGATATTTGGATGTTTGGATTTGATTTGTAGTCATCTTGAGGAAACAAAGAAAATGAGAGGGATCGTTACTTGACGGTAGAAAAGCAGTTCTAGCACAATACTGAGTTAAGAAGTGAAAAACTACAACTTACTGTTGTTGCTGAATGAAAAGCCATCGCTCTCCCTCATTGTCTCGTTCCCGCTGTCCGACCACGTCCTCTCCCTGCGGGAGATGAGCGGCCTCCTCTTCGCGCTCTTCCGAGTGCTGATGCGGATGATGCCGCGCACCAGCCGGCACTCCGCCTCCTGCTCATCCATTTTGTGCTCCTCTGCCAGTGAGTTGATGAGCTGGTTGATGGCCTTGCTCTTCTTCAGAAACACAGAGTCTGACGTGCACCTGGCCAACTCTTCGATCTGATATTCAGAGTAGAGCTCCAGCAGCTTTTTAGTAATAAGAGAGTCCACGTTCTCCTCGCCATCCTCCCAGTCATCAAACCTCATAGACTCATGCAAGGACGTGTGGCTGGGCTGTGCTGGACCACCTGTCTGAGATGGAGATGTGGTTTCAACATCCAAAAACTCTATTGGACTGTCAACTTTGACTCCAGCGATGCGGACGTCCCCCAGCCAGTCGACTGCATCCTGTTCTTTGTTGTCTCCTGGGTTCAAAGCTCGGAGGCTCACCTTCTCTGCTCTGTCAGGGGAGCTCTCGTTTGGTGCCAGGCACGGAGCGAGGGTGGAACGTTGGCAGACCCTATACAGGCCGCAAGTGAGCACGGAGCACACAAAGGTGCTACAGCTCCTTGGAGAAGCGCAGGGATTGCAGGTTTGTGCCGCAGAGGCGGGGTCAGCTGAGCCAGGAATGAAGCCAATGGTCTCAGACTCCTTTCCATTAGCATCTTTCAGTTGAGCTTTGTGGACTGTCTTTGGCTCAGGGGTCGGGAGTCGGTCTTCCACTGGGTCAACACAGCGCTCCTCATAGGAAAACCTCTGGCTGCTGCTCTGGCTGAGTGCACGCCTGTAGCTGCCAGGCCCTGAGTCTCTCAGACTACCAGTGCTGCCGGCAGACATGGCTTAGTGGCTCCAAGGTCTAGACATGAATGAGAGAAAATTAAGTCAATAGGTGTGAGCTAAATGGTAAGGCAGTGTTGGAATGGCATCGCTAAACAACATCCTTGCTATCAACCTACAATTGTAGCCGCCGGAGGCCATCTCTCTTCAAAACATATGTGAAACTGCTATCCCCAGGTGGCAGGTAAAGTAACCCAACTGGTTCTCTCAAGGATGTGTAAGCACACAAAGACTGTTCACATATCAAATTCATTGTATAATGTCATGGAAGTTTAGAATGTGAACACGAAAAGGTTAAAATAATTTAAAAAACAAAAACGATCTGCCGCATGCAATGCCATCTGTGACACTAAATCAAGGCACACCAAATTTAATTTAAAAAATCTTGGAATTGAATGCCCCCTCGGTCACGGGGAAACGTCGATCAGCCGGAGAATGACCAACTAGCGTAGATTACTTATTTTGATCTGTTTTTCAATTCCGAACTTGTTTAATCAAACACCGGGTAGTAAAATGTCAGCATTAAAACGGATTTAGACGGCTGTTAGCTGGGCGTGTTAAGTTCGTATAAAAACGGCATTTTTATAGGAGTAACCACTGAGTGAACGCTGCATGAATGCCGAGTTGAGGAACAAATATTTTTGAATCCAAATTATCTTTGGTTATTTTCTCCGGGTATACATATTCACTGAAAACATAAGTAGCTTTACATTGCCAGATCTTCATTGGGTGTCTGGCGGTTCCCTGACAGGATGTGTTAGGACGAATGTTTACATGAGTCATACAATGTAACGTTATGTAGGTAATAAACAAACTGAGTAAAGTAAAATGAAAATTTTTTTTAGCTCTTTTTATCCACATCAAACCACTTCCCTTGCCACGTTACAGTTTGATACACATTAATAAACCATAATCCCTTTCGTGTATAAAAAATATTTTCACTTTCATGGCGACTTGTCAACGCCACAACTGACGCGGAAAGTAACGTTCAGTCCAAGCAGACGAATTTCTCACTAAACATTACTCACAGTAAACACAGTGCATCCACCGAATAAATTAGTGTTCTCTTCTCCAGGAAACATTAAACACTTCTGCCCCAAAGGTTTCACTTTTAGTAAATTGTCGACCAAGTCCGTGTACCTGAGGGTCAAGGTGGAGGAAATGCACCAGGTAGCTACAACAGCAGTTTCAACTTCCGGTTATATATTCAAAAATAAAACGCAAGTGAAATTGCGACTACAAGTGCGATAGGGTTATGTATTTTACGTATTAACAGTGATAATTAAAAACACAATAAAAGCACGTTTTAAAAAACAATGGAAATTAGCCCAAAAGGCCACTTTCAAACACAATATTTCACATAGACAACATTTGTTCACTTTTATTTTGACATGACTTCCTTTGTTGTGCCAAGTTCTACCTGCCTTCCGAGAACTGCTTACACTCGCGGGAGCGGGCACAGCTAAAACGAGAACTACAAGATATGGTAAAGCTAGGAAAGTATTGTTTTAAAAACGATATAATCTTCTTTGTGGGATTCATCTTTAATCTCTATAGCATTTAAAAACGTAGCTTATTTAATTCATGCAGTAATCATTTCTGAGCCGATTAATCCTTTGAGAATGACCAAAAAATTAAAGTTGTGGCAGAGAACAACGAATGCAGTAGCAAATGTACAAATGTTGCCTGGACTGACAAGCAATATACAGAAATGGGACAAAATGTGCAACGTTACATCTATCAAATTCATCCTAAAACAACATTACTATTACCTGCTTTTATTCTTCCTGCTAAACACTTCTGTCTTTGACCTGGTCCTGACAGCAAAGGCATGAAGCAACACAGATGGTCTAGCCCGTGACTGGGGAAAACAGTATATGATGTACTATTTTGCATGTTGCAAATCATTTTTTTTAAACTTCATACTGTGAACTTCCTCACATCCTATAGTAAATATTTTTCACACCCCTGCACAAACTGTACAGTAGAACGAGCCCATAGCACGAATAACAAATTTTGAGAGTCAACTCTGACAATCTAAGCCAGTTCAGTAAATAACTTGCTTGATCTGACCACAACTAGGATAACCAGACACTAACCTCTTTTAAGGAACATCTCATATAACTCAGAAGACAAAGACACTTTGCAATGCAGAACTGACATGTCCCTTGATTATGTGCCCTTGACCATTAGTTAACATGCTGATTTGGATCCTGGACTAACAGGAACTGTTTCTCTCTGTAAAGTAATGAAGGGCATATGACATATGGATCACTAATTGGTGTAGGCCTACTGACCTAAAACTATTTTTCAGTAGTATACTTGATCATTTGAGACACAGTTCCATCAGTTTAGGCCCCTGATTCCCTAAGGACAATATTTCAAAGCTTTTTATTTACACAGATTTCTTAACCCTTCATATGTCTAAGGTTACCTGAGGTATTATCCGGTTTTATTGTGTTGATGTCTTAATTCTGTCCTCTCTCCACTTGTCGTAGCCTTGGTGTCGGATTTCTTCTGATTGCCGGAAGTGAGTGTGAATCTGCTCTTATCTCTCACCAAATTAAAGATCACTCGCTATGACCAGTTTAATGCATTTAAGTCTTACTTTGCTCCATTATGCTTCTTGACTTACAGTACTTGTTTTATCTATTTTTTTAAAATATTTTCTGCATACTATTGTGACACACCATATACCATATAATTTTTTTTTTGGATGTGTAAACCTGTTTAAATAAATCTGATTCTGATTCTGGGTCTAAACATATACTGACTACCATGTGCAGTACTTTGTAAGGAGTAAAGGTGTTACATTAAATTATTTATTTCCACAGTTTTTAGTTATTTACACATATATTTATATCATCCTGTTTGCTTACTTATGTCTTATAATGTTTATTTTGTACTTTGTGCACTATTTTCCTTTTGAACTAATCATTTGCATGGACAGTGTCTTCTACCATATTGCAAATATTTTTGTTTTAATGAGTTGGATAACGCTATTCACATTCCTGACTTGATAAAGTATCATCATCCCAACTGGTGAGAATTTGGAGGTGTTTTTGTTACCAAGGCCAGGGCAGACAAAATGTCTCAGTATTTTAAGAGAAGGAAACAAAATATAGCCTACATACAACAAAAGATGTGTGTTTCCACTCTTACTATAATCGAGACATGTGTCAAATGACATTTCCCTTAAAACATGTTATATACTGTCAATTTTAATTAATGATAGTGTAAATTTAATGCATTTACCAGGAGATGGGTGGGAGATGAATTTCTCAGCCAAAACAACCACTGCATAATAGGACTACTGCATCCACCCCATAACTATCTTAAGAGACCGAGTAGTCAAATGGTTTTAACAGCATGCATGGCTCAACTGTAATTTCATTTCACGTAGTCTTCCTGGCTAAAACAACAGGACGCATTTCTCAGCAGCTAAAAACATCAGTTCTGCCAAAATAATTGCATCCACCCCTTCAACTCAATAAGGGCACTCAAATCGTGATAGGAATCAAATGGTGTTATCAGCACAAACTTTAATTGATCGACTTTGACTTAACATTTGCTTAAAACACATTGATAAAATACACACCAAATAGAAGGTCTTCAGAAATATTGAGAGATTAATGAACAAACCCATGCAAATTTCAGACCAATCAAATGTTTCCTTTACGGAGTCTAATTAACCATTGATGAACGTTCAGAGACTATAAACTTCTGATCATTTATCATCATTGATGAACCCCACAAAGACGATTATATCGTGTTCAAGCAGTACTTTACTGTAGAAATCTTTATTGTCTGGTACATTTGGCACCAGCTGTGCGCGCTCCCGCAAGGGGCGTATTGTTCGTGGCAGGAAGGCAGAACTCGCCATAACATCGGTTATGTTGCCGAAAATGTCCTCGATGAATCTGCGTCAAGTCACACACAGTGACCGCTGATTTACCGGATATTGCAAAATGTGGCTACTATTGACGTTTGATATTTGACATTTATAGAGAAAAATGTACTAATGACCGTAGGAGACGTACTCCAATACATTATGTGGCCACTCCGTTTTAGGGAGTGCCATCGTCATACCTAAACTGTTATATTTTAACAACTGGTTTTTATTTCGAAATAAACACAACCGGAAATACACCTTTTAGTTGAGTGACGTTTGACAACAGCCAACGTGCTAACCTATATTAGTCACGAACGTGTAAGACTCCTGGCAGGAGAGCAGTATGTATATAAAATGCGACGTTTTAGTGCTCCTTTTAACTGTAACGTTACATAAAGGTCCTCTGAAGAATAGCATAAAGGTTAGCTAATCGGTGCACGGCGAGCAAGCTAACAAGCTAGCAATGTTAACGGTATTTGGGGTTTAACGTTACTGATGTTAAAAAGTCCGCAGCTGGCTGAGTTGGCTAGTCTGAATGGAAGAGCTAACAAGCTAACTTAACTATCGCCCGAATTGGTGCGAAGTCCTTCTGGAGACAGACTTTCAGAGGACTAACGTTAACATAAATGAAGAGGAATGGAAAGTAACGGGGAACATTTCGAGCGCTGGGTCTTAAGGTTATTTACAACTGGATACCCATAGTAAAGGATTAGCTTGTTTTCTACGTGGAATGACGACATTTTCACCGTTCAGCTGCCTCAAACACGGGCGTTGGTGATGCTGTCGGTCACTGGCCAAATGCTCCGGTTGTCCGAATTGGGACAGAGCATCAAAACTACATTATAAATCATGAAAAACTGCGAGTATCAGCAAATCGACCCGCAGGCACTTCCGACACCAACCCCGACCCCTCCACCCCATCATGGAAACGACAGTGACAAGAGAGAGGAGCCGAAGAGACCGAGGAGAAAGTGGGAAGTTTTCCCCGGAAAGAATCGCTTCTACTGCGATGGACGGATCATTGTGGCTCGACAGAATGGGGTCTTGCCCCTCACTCTGGGCCTTATTCTCGTCACAAGTGGATTATTCTTTATATTTGAGTGAGTCCATGTTTCATATTAGGTCAACGATTCTGTCATATCACCTGCGAGTTCAGTCGTTGTTTCTGGTGACAAAGGTATGGTATTTAAAGGACGAAATTTCAATACATCTCAGCTACGGCAATGTGAAGCAAACCAGCTATATAAATTGAAATTTCATTGAATTGACTCCTGTCTGGGGTATTAGATCTAGGCCGAACCGTAGAGCAGGTCCTAATCATTTGATACAATTTCATTATTTATGTTTTACAAGCGCATTGTCTTGTCTAATACGCAAATCAACAAAAAAAATCAGATTTCATAATGCGATCCGGCAGGCTTTACAAAATTGTACATCTAAAAGTTCTATTTGTCCCATAATTTTGGGCTTACAATGTGTGAACATCTGTTTTGGTTGTACATTAAACCTTGATTTCTAAACTGTTATTGTGATATGATTACTATAATAAGGAATAGTGCTTGAATATGAAAACGGCAGTATTTCTATCACAGTAATGTAAAGTGTGTTCTTCCTCCAGGGATTCAGATAGTGATTAAAGGCACTGAATGTTAATTAAAATAGATCCCCCTGGTGGATGGAAAAAAAAAAGCAGGCTCAGTTTGAGACAGGGCTCTGTTTCCATAGTCTTCCAGCCTTTGATATGGTCAGCCTGCCTTGGTAACTCACCCTCTCTCTCTCTGTCTGTGGCTGCCCCATATCACAGCTGCCCCTTCCTGGTCAAACACCTGACCAGCTGCATACCTGTTATTGGAGGAGGCCTCTTTGTATTTGTGGTCATCACCCTGCTCCAGACTAGCTTCACTGACCCCGGCATCCTGCCTAGAGCAACGCCAGACGAGGCTGCAGACATTGAAAAACAAATTGGTAAGGGCCGACTCAGTTGTAAGTGGAGTCAGGACTATATGGTGGTCTCAAGTGCTTTTGACTTTGATATTCAGTATCATTTAATTGAGTTTTTTTTTAGTATTCGATGGTTTCCCTCAGAGTGGTGGGAACTCCAGTTTATTGCATCGTCCACTTGACCTCTCCCTGTGGTCTTTATATTTCCTAAAGGAAATCTGAACCGTGAACTCATACTGCCTAAGCTCAGCTCATTTCTTTATAAGTTACCCTCTGCTCAGTGGCATTCAATTATGTCAAACTTTAAGGACATACTATTTTTGGTGCTGTCGTAAGAGCTTTCACATGGTTTATTTTGCTTCAGAGCACTATTCACAGGTGATGTTGAAGTTCTGTCATTGTTCTGCAAGCATCTGCTATTTTACTCTGAAACGGAAACATAAGCCAAGTCCTAATGGAACGGTCACCGGCCATTCTGTGAACTGGAAGATTTGTTATTCCTCTGACAAGGTCCTGTACTGATTCCTTTACCCCAATCTGTCCTTTTTATACCATAATCGTGTTCAAAGCGGTGCTTCAGTTAGTTCACTGTCAGTTTTCACCAACAGTATCTTTTCTTTTCATGTGGCATGCTCCAATATGACCTTACTGTCTAAAGTTGGCTTCATGTGCACCTTATTAACTCCTACTCATGACCAGAGCTTTGGCAGTATTGATGTAAGATGTTCTTAAAACTGTACTGCTGCTTTTCCAGCTATTTTTGAAACAAAGACTCTGACATAAGTATTGATTATTTACCTTCCGCCCTATCTGTAAGGAAATGCTTTGCACATTTTATTTGACCATGTATTCTCTGAACAGGTGTGTTAGGCTAACTGATCCCATTAAATAAAAAAAAAAAAAAGAACACAGAATGTTTTGATTGGAAGATTTGAATCTGTTGCATAAACTAGAGCTGTGTCCAAATTTTATTATAATGCAGGTTTTGAGGACAGATTCACACTGGAAAAGTGACTTAAAAATTTTTTATTTGAGCTTCCTGTCCCACATTGAGGATGGTGGTGGGTGAAACAGGTCCGGGAACCCCTCAGACACCACTCTAAAATATTTCCTGTTGTTACAAAATGGAAAAAGTACATTGACTTCTTATATATTGAGTGGAAATAATATATAGAATATACAAGCAGTATTGTGACACAATATAAACTTCTTTTTTTATTTTTACAGTAGACATTTTGGCATTTCATTGCAGGAAAAATTGTTAATCACAAGTGCTTCCAGTTCAGGTGAGCCAGTTCCAGTGTGCCGGTATTGTGCCTGCTGGCTCACTGGCACACTTGATGGAACTCTGCCATCGTTAATGTTGTTTGATTCACCTGTGCCGTGCCAAGTCAAAATGTTTGCTATAAACAAAGGTCTCTAAAGCAGAAAAGGTTTCTGGTTGGAAAGCCCCACAAGCCTTGTTGGAATGTTATTTTGTGCTTTGTCAGATTGTTGTTATGGCTGTATGCCAGGCTGTGCATATTAATCAGAATTTAGAAAGCAAGTGGGACAGGAGAATGGACTGGGTTGTGAGCATTCACTGCGGGAGCTAGCGTGGCTTGCAGGCCTACAGCAGTCTTTCACAAGTTGAAAATTATACAACTCTTTGTCGATTGTCGATACGCTCTAATGTCTTAGCGATCACTGTAACCACTGCCTTCTTTGGCCTGCCTGGCTGGACCTTGGAGATCACTGTAATTTTACCTATTAAAGTCCAGTCAAACTGTGTAGAGTGGGTCAATTCACAACTGGAAGTGAATGTATCCCGCCCTGTTGCTCATAAAAATGAACAAGGAGTGAAACCTTATCTTACCACAGAGGTGTGTGTGTGTGTGTATAATGGGTGGCAAAGTCATTTACAGAATACGCAATTTCTGTTTTTTACAAATCGCCTGTATATGTTTAATGGCTAGAGTTTAGGTGCAAATACTAAAAAGCCAGACGACTATCACGGTTGTGTCTCTCTCCTGTCCTCTCCTGTGTAGACAACACTGGAAACGCCAGCTATCGACCTCCACCGCGCACCAAGGAAGTCCTCATCAACCAGCAGGTGGTGAAGCTCAAGTACTGCTTCACCTGCAAGATGTTCCGTCCTCCGCGCACCTCCCACTGCAGCCTGTGTGACAACTGTGTGGGTGAGCTGTGGACACACACCGACACGCTGACATTTTCCAATGATAAATAATGAATAGAGGCCTCATAGGGCTACTGCCAACATCATTCCATTACTCCAGTTCAGGCTAGACTGACTTGAATGACATGTCCGAGTATTCCCCAAACTGCTGGTCGACTCCTAAAATTAATTTTTTATGAATTGAAAAGGTCAGTGGGTTCCACTTTGAGTTCATTGTGAGTTCTCCTTTTGTTTCTCTGTCAGAGCGTTTCGACCATCACTGCCCTTGGGTGGGGAACTGTGTGGGCAAACGCAACTACCGTTTCTTCTACACCTTCATTGTGTCGCTGTCCTTCCTGACGGCGTTCATCTTCGGCTGTGTGACCACGCATCTAGCACTGAGTACGTGTTCCTGCTCCGATTCACAGGTGTTCCATGGTTGGAAAACAGTTAGGATTTTACCGATAATAACTGCAAACACACCTGGCTCAAACAGGACCTGTCAGTGTGGTAATAGTTTTTTTCTGGCTTGGACTGCCAGACGGGCGAGGTTTATCACATCAGAGCAGTTTCATTTTCTGATAAGAAAAATATAAAAGTGTCTGGAATTCTCCACTTGGTCATTTGGCCGCTCGCCAGCTTCTAAATTTAATTTAATTGCCAGTGTTTAAATTTAATTATTCTAAGAGCCCTGCTCGCTGAAGGGTTAGAATAATATTTGAAGAAATTTAACTGCAACTGTTTTGGGCATCCCAACATGACCACACACATTTTCTCTTTAATGGACTCAGAAAGACACTTTGAGCCATGTGTCATTATAATGTTTTCCTCTCTTTCAGGGGCTCAAGGTGGAAAAGGCCTGGTGTTTGCTTTACAAGAGAGTCCAGGCAGATATCCTTTTAATCATAAACGTGTTAAAGTGAACACTGTCTGGGAGTGTGTTTGATAGATTTCTCCCAACTCCAGTACACCTGTGCTCTCCTTGACCCAACCTTTCACTGCTGTGGAGCTGGTGATATGTTTCTTCTCAGTCTGGTCCATCCTGGGCCTCTCAGGCTTCCATACATACCTGGTTTCTTCCAACCTGACCACTAATGAAGACGTGAGTATGGCCTAGAGTTAAATTTGTTACACTACAATTACAGAGCCAATGTTCAAGAACAATTTGGAATATTTGAAAAACAAAAGTAATATTAAATTAATTACATACAATTACATATATATTGCAGTAATGTCACAATTGAATAGAATATCTAGAAATCCACATGGAAAAAAAAACAAAACAAATAATAATAGATAGTTGCTGAGGAAAGCAAGATTTTTTTTTAAAAACTTTTGTGAAGTTAATGAACTTCCAAACCAGATCAAGGACTACCTTGCAGAAACTCAATGCAAAATTTAAATGTATTTTGAATAAAAACAGTAAGTACACTTTATATCTTGTTGTCTTTTCCAGATTAAAGGCTCCTGGTCAGGCAAGAGTGGAGAAGATGTCACCAACCCATACACTCACAGAAACATCTTTGTCAACTGTTGTTCTGTGCTCTGTGGACCCATGCCACCCAGGTTAATCTTCCCACATACTAAGTGAACTACTAAAGGGATCCATAAATGATTACCACCTAAAGATGATGTCAGTTTGCATTAGCATTTCTCGCTCTGATACAGATAGGGTTCAGTGCCAAAACCAGGTCCAAATTACCAAGAACCGTGGACTTGTTAAGACATGTGCGTTTCAGTTCTGCTTACTGGTCCTGACTGAACTGCCAGGGGCTGCTAACATCAAGTCATTTGTTACGCAGTACGTCGACAGAGCACGCGAGACCGCAGCAAACGCTTTAAAGTTTGGTTTAGCTTCAATGTAAAACACACAGCAAAATGCAACACCTGCAGGAAGGAAGACGTACCTCCACTATGACGAAGCATTTACTTCAACGCGGCGTGAATCTGATGGAACGCACCGTGTTCAGTATACTGTGGTCTCCCAGCTGCAATGATGCCCCAGATACAGCTAACGCTAACAGTAGCAATGACTCATGCTCAGAGATAAAACACAGATGAGCTGACATTCACCTTTTTATATTGAATGTAAATGAATGTTGTCTTCAGCTTATTCCAATATATATTTTTTCTGGCTACAAGCTTGTAGCTGCGTGTTTCTGAGTTGCATGTGCTTGCTTACAGGATGTGAGAAAAATGTGTAGTCGTGCAGTTTCTGAATGCGAATTTGAGATTCATTACATGTACATTTGTTACCTCATGATGTTCAGTGTGCATCCATCACTAACACACCTAATAACTTGGATCTTCCTTGTCTTTTTCAGCTTGATCGACAGACGAGGGTTCCTGCCCGCAGATGAATCTTCCCAGACTGCTGGCGTGGACATCGAGCTGCCCACTCTGGCAACTAAAAGCGAGATAAATGTGGTAGGAGGATCTTCCCTGCTGGCTTTTGGCTTGCAGGCATCCCCTTCTCCTGTGCCTGCACACCCCAACTCCCACCAAAACACTTCCTCTGCCTGACAGAAGCTTTCTTGTCTGCTGTAGCCCCAACCCAGAATCTGCTGCTTGTTGTGTATGGGTTAATCCCTACATACTGTTTACACTACAGTCAGAGGTTTACATATCAGTACTACTTTTCTTAGTACAAACAAGACTTTTAAAAGCATTTTGAAAGTAGGTAAACAACTTGGTGTAAGCTGGCAAAATATTAATTGGTTTTATAATAAATTTGAACGTTTTGGGAAATGTGCTTATTTGCTGAGGGTGAGATGAGAAGATCAATATCAATCCCACGTCTGCGTGTTAAAGCTAGCCTGTAAGTTTTGTAGAACAGAGGCAAGGTGGTAATTATGTCGTAATGGTAAATGCTATAACATAGCGTAACAGTAGAGAAACAAGTTACGTCAGCAAACTGACTCAGTAATGTCAGTTACACAGCAGATTTGGCTTTGCTAACATTATAGCCACTATAAGCTGTCGGTCATACCAGACAGCTCGTAGCAGCAAAAGTGTGTTGCATTGAGCAGGAGTGCATTTTATCGCTTATGATTTCAACGTGTTGTGTGAGAGGAAGATTGTGGTATTTCTTCCTTCAGAACTTACAGTCTAATTTTTTGAAGTAAGCTTTTGGAGTCTGGACATTTTTTAGCCTAGCTTAGAAGGAAAGCTGCTAGCATAGCTCTGGCAAAGTGGAAAAAATTCCACCTAGAGTACCAACACCTCTAAAGCTCACAAATGAACAGGCTTAATTTTTTTTGTATCTAAAGAAACCCAATACATCATTTAAGTAAGACAAATTTGGTTGGTGTACTTAAATGTTTTCAAAGCCAGGCTTGCTGTTTCCCCTTGTTTCAAGTATTCGTGCTAAGCTAAGCTAATCAGCTGCTGGCAGCATTGTTATATTTAGTGTACAGACACAAGAGTGGGATCAATCCTTTCATCTCTGGGGTGGAGAAAAAGCAAATGAGCCTGTTCGACAAAAGGGAAAACTATTCTTTAAGTTTATGATTGAGTAACATTCGGTTGGCCCCGGGCAGTTCACTCATGTCTGAACAGCTCAGTCATGTTTACCTCATGGACATAAACAAATTAGGTTTACTGACATTATGCTTTAGAAATAAGGAACAGGGATATTATTCACTATGTATTTTTGTACCTTTTTTTTTTTTTTTTTAAATTCACCATCCTCAATATGTTGTTCCTGTGCAGTATGTCCACTCAGGGTGTTTTTTAAAAGGGAGAAAGAGAGCAGGAGTTGTAATAAGCGAAGACTCAGATGCTGTTTCTAGCTCGTCGTCCTCCTCACAGGGCGGCTCTCTTGCTGTTCTCTCTGACAGCAAGGGATCTTAACGTGGCGACTGGAGAGTTGTACAGCAACTTTTGTTTACAAGACGTGAGTGCGGTTCAGTCAGAGTTGCAGTCTGAGCCACAGTACTCTCATATCAAGCCTTTTTTTCTGTTTACACCAAAATAACAAGACGGCTATAAAACCTTTTTTTATTTGTGTGTACAGAATAAACAGAAAAGCAAGTGAAGTTGCACTGTTTCTAGTCTAAGTTTTATTTTATTGTTTTATTTTATTGTAAATAGTCTTTTGAATTCAGATTCCATACACTGGGGAAGCTGTGAGGAAAGCTTTTTCTGCACCAACTGTTCCTTGTTTGTCGTAACACACCAAGCCAACCAACATCATTTCCCAATTCTTTCCCTTCATGTCATTATTCCACGAATGTTTTTTGTATTTTGTCAGTACCTGAAATGTAATAAAACATGCATTTTTGTCCATGCAATTCATCATCTGTGTGTACTATTTTTTTTTTTTTTTGTCATTGTTTTGTTTGTCCACCTTCACAATTATTATAAACATATTGGAGTATAATTGTATTTTCAAAGGAAAGGTCATAGCATCAGTACGCTCCCCCTGTGTCCATTCACCCGGTCTTAACTTTCTGTTCTGTATGTGGTCTGTCTCTGTGCCTGTGTCCTGCCATCGAAACTAGGAGGAGAAATGTCTGGACTTTGCTGTGTCCTGCACTGGCTGATTAGCCCCTGTTAGTGCAGGAAAAGTGATGCTTGAGCTTGGTAAGCCTGTTAAGAGAAAGGGAAAGAGAGTGCACTGTGCCCCACCACTGTGTCTGCATCTCCTCTTGGCTGGGTGCTGTACTGCTGCATGGCTTTATTCATAACGCTGTCATGTTGAATACAATGAAGAGTGCATAATTTAATACAATACAGGATGTACTGAATGTAAAATTAGTTCAACATTTACGTATAGTTATGGCTCAAACAGTTCCAAAATAGAGTTCTTGTTAAAGTAGAAACACATTTGAAACAGCTGTTTTAGGCCACGATGGGTGAGGAAAACTTCTAATAATATTGTTAAACACTAAATTGCTTTTTCTATTTGGACATTGAAATGATTACACATTGACTGTAGGAGGAAGGTCGTTGAGGTGGATGAATCACTGAATAATTTTCTAAGTTAAGTTAGTTGGAAGAACAGCTCCATGTAGAGGAAACAAATGAGGACATGCTGACAGCCAGGCTGGATTCAAACCAGCTAAACTAAGTTGTTGTGTAGCATTCTACACAGTTAATAGTGAACTGGCAGTTTATCAACCTTGATTAACAGTTAAATGTTTGAAAGTTGAACAAAAAAGAGCCGTTCACCATTTACATTTATTTCAGGCAAAGAGCTTATTTTAAAGCTACACTTATCAACATCTTTATGTTAACATGGAAAAAATAAATTTGGGACTATTTATTCATATCTTTTATGTAATTAATGTATTATTACTAACTTATTGTCTTTATATCTCCTATTATGTAAAGCATTTTGAATTGCCATGTTGTAGAAAGGTTAGCTTGCATTACATTAGCTTGCATTACAAATTACAGTACAAACAACAAATTATGATGAAATTTGAATGCTAATGTTGCTCTGCATCTGCTGGATGTGTAAATATGCAACTGTTAGATATTGTGTTTGCTATATCAACTTTGTTGGTAGGTGATATTATGTGAATGTGTTTACAGCTTATTGCATTGCATCCCAGAGGCCAGAAAATCAACGAATGCAGGTTCAAGACCTCACACCAACAGCAATATTATTGGGAGCGTTGTTTCTTGATGTCTTTGTTATGCTAGCCAGAATTATAAATGAACCAGTGGCTTAAAACTTGTGACCTTTAGGATTGAAATATTTTCTGCAGCCCCAATTTTCCCAATTGAGAAAGAGGATGTTTGCCTTTAGGCACTTTGAAAAGTCATGGTGTTAGGTAAAGAAGCTCACTATATTCACACACCGGATTCAGTCTGTAGATCAGTGGTTCCTGAGCTTCAAAAAATCCGTAACTGTGTATAATTCCTTCACTTCTTAAAACTGATCATAATTGCTATGAAGCAGCCCTATTCTTTAAAGGGCTACTTTTTACATGTCAATTAACTAATTTCAGAAAGTACTACTCAGCCTACTGTGGCTTTGGAGGTGCTTTGTCAAGTCTTAGACAATAACGATGATGACGTCATTATTTCCTCATAAAGTCATCATGTTGACATTTTTTAGGACAGATGTCCAGGGTGCCCAACAGTCTAATCCTAATGAATTTCGTGATCTTGTGACTTTCCTCCTGCACAGTCAACATTTTAATTTGTCCAATTATTTAGTTTATGCCCTGCAAAACTATTGAAATTCCCATCAGCCTTTGCTTTGTGTTTAGCAAATGTTAGCATGCCAACACACTATTGCACATCAGTAGTCTATTATTCAGCAAGAGGGCACTGTGGAAAAACTTTATAAGTTCTATGACTCTGTGTGTTGCAGACCGTCGCTCTGCATGACAGATAAGTAGTAGATCAGTAAATGAAAGAATGTAAGAACAGTTACTGTGGGGAATATAAAGCACGAAACAGCCTAATCATGAACAACACGTGTTTTGTGGAGGTGATATCAAATGCAACTCTCAGCTATAAATCAAAACATACAACAGGACTCCCGTCAACTGCTTTTAAATATGACTTATTTATTGAGTTTCCAACAAAAAGAACAGACACAGACCTTTAGATACATCCACCTGGAGGGACTGGACATGCTCTTGAAAGGGTTGCTAAATCTTTAAAAACCTTTCATTGGAGCCACGGAGGGAGTGTTTGATTTTTTCTACTTTCATAAAGGATAAAGCATCCTTATCCAATGGGTGTGAGAGGTGGGGAGACGGGCTCTTCCAGTGCATCAGTTCAGTTCAGTTCAGTTCTTTATTGTCATTCAAACATGTAAAACATTAAGGAACGAAATTCGTTTCCCAGGTCCAGCAGCGTACAGAATGACATGCCTCGCGAATAATTTGTAAGAAAAGCCACCAGTTCAGTGAAGTAGGGTGGCAGTGGGTTGGTAGCGGGCAGGACACCGAACAGGCCTACTAAGGGTGATTGGAGGACTTTGGTAGATGTGACGGCCGAGACTGAGTCAAATACAGAATTCCAGAACCAAGAGAGAGCGGGCCAGTTCCAAAACATGTGACTGACGTTAGCTGGACCTAAGTGACACTTACCGCAATTTGGATCGGTGCCCGGATAAGTGCGAGCCCGTTTGCTTTTAGACCAGTGGACTCTATGAATACTTTGCACTACAAAACCCCATGCCGGCCGCAAATAGATGATGCATGGACCCCATTTCAGAACGCACTGCCAGACCTCAGGCTAGGACTCCCGTTAACTGTTGACTGTAAATCCTGCTTAGAATGTTGTCTTGTTAGCAGAAAGCTTACACAGTTGAGTTGCATTGTGGGAAGTGTAGGATCCATTTTTTTTTTACCTTGACAGATACTAGGGGCTAAAAATCAGGATATCTCTGCATTTGCCTTTCATTTCTTTTACATTTATTCATGCTTTTATCCAAAGCGACTTAAAATCGCTATATATATGTCAGAGGTTGCACACTTCTGGAGCAACTAGGGGTTAAGGGTCTTGCTCAGGGACACAATGGTGGATGGGTCACAGCGGGGATTGAACCCAGGTCTCTCACACCAAAGGCATTATCTGTTGCGCCATCACCACCCCCTTTTCTCTTGCAAGACCCCAAATTTTGTATAAAGTGCAATACTGAATTGCAGGAGTAATCTTTTAAAAACTTGTGCACATAGTTCTATCTATCAAGACAATGTTCTTTGATGTTGCTTGAGATAAACACCTTTTAGTGTGATTCCCTTGGTCTAATGTGCATCCACATGCAGATCCATTGCATGAAACATTTGCAAACTCTGGCTCTGGATCACTCATATGGCCTGCTTGCCTTCCCAGCTTGTCTTTGATTTATCTTGCACAGCTGTAGCCACATTCACTGAAGTGATTTAACACCCTGCTGTTCTCCCTGTTAACTTCACTGGCTCGTCTCATCAGTTTTTGTCTGTTTTTCTTCCCCTCCTCTGTCCCGTGCCTCCTTAGTGCACACAGGGAACTAAAGATCTGCTGGAGTCGGCCACTCACTCTCCTCTCCTGTCCACCTCATGTCCTCAGGGGAAACCTCAGACAACTCATACATGCCCAGACAACAGCACTGCGTTGAACACTGACCCCTCACCGGAGCTCTCTACGAGCTGCGGGGCTCGCAATATTGCTAGCTACCAAGGCAATACCTCTCCATCACGTCACGCCAAGACTCGGTCAAAGAAAAGTAAACGAGCAGCTCTGCATATCCCCAACCCTGCCTCCGATGTCCCTGTTTCCCCTACCTCTCCAGACACTGGCCCCAGCTCCAAAGCCAGGGGCCACCAAGGTGCCGCCTTTGACCCTTTGCACTGACTGACTTGAATGACGGCTTTCTCAAGTGAAAACACACATCGTCTGAAGCTTGCATGCTGTAACACAGTCAGATACAAGTGGTATGAATTCAAGATGTTCTTTATTGTTTGGTGGTTTTCTGATGGTCCTGGGTGTGGTCATTGTGGATGACAATCACAAAGATATGGAATTACGTGATCTGTTTGCAGTAGAAACACTAGAGCAGAATGGTTGGAGATTATTCAGGCTGTAAAGGATGCATTTCAGCCCTTGGTGTAGAATGACAAAAATTTAATTTGCAAGATGAAGGAACTGGTGTACTGACGGAGCCATATGTCTTTCTGATGATTCTTGTGTAAAACATGAATTTTACCAGCATCAAATATTGTAAAATACTGGCTCTGATGTATCAGGTGGACAAACTCTGGGAGCTTGAATGGCTTCGCATGGAAGACTCAAGCTCAGAATCTGTATGCATCTGTAAGGAGAAGAGTTGCTCTCAAAGGGAAAGTCCATCCCAAATATAGAATTCACATATATAATTTCTACTATAAAAGACTGTGCAGCTGAGTTTGAGCAAGTTTTTGAGCAAGAGACATATAGGCTGTGAATAATTGAAAAAGTCATGGGACACTCACAGCAGCCATGGAGCGTTTTCAAGGATATGGGGATATTTTGACAATAATATCTGAAAACTCTGTGTTCAAATCATTCTCCTTTGGAAGTACTGATGGCTGACAAATTAAAAGAAAGCCCAGCATAAATAGTATTGGTAAGAGCACCTTCAGTGATCACTGTCATGGATTTCTAACTTTGTGAAACTGTACAGGAGGAAGGTATTCCTTCATTTGATGTTTTTATGATGGTAGTGGAGACATCCATTTCTGAAAACTGGCAATCTGACAAGCATGTCTATAATGATTGCGCCCTTATCTCTTTTTAAACATATGTCTCACTTCTCTCTATAACAGCACTTACATATACACTTGCTTTTTGACGTGTTCAGACGCCACAGTAATTTGTTTCAAGCATGCCCACCTTAAAGCAACATTATGTAGTATTTTTATCTTAAACATCTTCAAAATCATTTTGACATTACACTGACTTGTAATAGAGCAAATGGCGTCTCTGTCATTGCCGCTCTGGCCCAGTATTGCTTGGTATTGTCACCATGTGACATTGAAATCCTGGGCAGGACCAAACTATCGTGAGAATGGTGTAATGCTTTACGGCATAAACGCAACTCCTCCGCAAGCAAGCTATAAGATGAAGTAAAATATATAGAATATACAAAATGAGTTCTGAGGAAGAAGCTAGCTTGGTATTCTCAGTATGGATATCATGGCAGAGGCTGTGAAGACAGGCACAGCCTCTTTAATCTGGCTAATGGTGGAGAGAGCACTGTTTAACACATTGCTCTAAAATCTTTAGTAATAGGTTTTGAGTCGGGTTGAGGTAGTGAAGGTCATAGCACGAGATTCATATAATTTTCACCTCTGCATTTCTCTCCACATATTCATTCAGGTTTTCATTAGTTGCCATCTGTAACATCTCACACAAAGGTATTGGCCCACTGAGTTCAGTAAGTTATCCAGTTTCAATTGTAATGGCTCAGCAGAGAAACAGTTTTGAACCCAGGTGTACAGCTCAGGACAGACAGGATAAGTTCACATTTACTTGTGGTCAAACAGTTCAAACCAGGCAGCCAAATGGCTAGAAAGCTAAGGCAGAGGCCCAGTCATCGATCTGGCAAAGAGTAGGCTAAATGATAATGGGCGGAAATATATACTGCAGGGCTGATGGGTTAAGTGGAAACAGGTGGAAGGAGAGGTCAGGTATGGCAGGGAAGACAAAGCAGACATGAGAATGGGTGAAGTTGGCTCACGTGGCATCAATGGACCAACCCCAAAAATAGTCATATTTTTGGGCTGTGATATTGCCACAGCTTTTTTTTTGTTTAAAGGTGTTGACTTTACTATCCAAAATGTTTTTTGCACATGTGAATTCTGTTTTTGTGTGGATTTCAACTTTAACGCAAACAACACAGTGACTTACGTGTGTATCATTTGTATGCTGTTGTGTGCTGTTGTTCAGATTTCTGTGCTGTATAAATGGCAGCGAATGCAACTGCATGATAATGGCTAAAGATGTATTTTATGGTATTTTTGTTTATTTATATCCATTCAAACATCATATTATACACCTGATAGGTCCTGTACCACTTTTTGTAGGTGATTTTGATTCCCGAATATAACTTCATCCATGAAGCAGTATAGTTCATTGTGCTGCACAAGCTCCTGCTCGTGTTGTCATTAATATCACGCAGTGATTTAAAGCTCCCTTTCAAGTCTCCACTTCCTGTTCACATTTTATATCAGCCCAAGCAATACCTGTTCTCTCCTCCTTAAAGTTGTTTTACTTTGTGCACTTCAAATCTAAGATCTATGTGATCGATGGGTGTGTTGTTTTGTTCTCAGGTGGAAAGCTGTAGGGGTTAGGTATTTAATATGCAAGTTCTATGTTACATATATCATGTTTATCCACAGTGTAACCTGATGGCAATAGCTGCACTAAAATGCAATGATCTGAACAATCATCTTCGTGGAATAAAATGTGGGCATACACAAACACACACACGCAAATCCACACGTTTGTTCCTCCATCCCTGTGGGGACATTTCTTTGATACATTCCCTAGCCCCTTATCCTAACCATATACCTAACCTTAACCCTCATCCTACTCCTAACACAATTGTAACCTGAACCCTAAAAAGTTTGAAAGGTTTTAACCCTCAAAAAGCAGTCACTTGTTGACACAAGTCCCCATCTTTTGGTGTGCATTCAGGTTAAAGTCCCCACCAGGAAATAAAAACATTTAACACATGTGCGCACACACACACACACACACACACACACACACTGTTCGTCTGTAGTTCACCTTAAGAGTGACACTGAGTAGAGCAGCAGTATTCACTGTGTCAGAAGTCATCCCAACACCTTCTGGAATACAAGTAATACATTTCTGAGGTGAAAAACATTGTACCGTATTTGTATGAGTTGTAAGGTTATTTAAGCCAATGTTCTGTCAAAATAAAGAAGGAAAATAAAGTTCAGTGAAATGAAATAAAGAATCCATTTGTTTTTTATGCCACTGAAGTGTGGCATCTGACCACTAGATGACAGTGATGACCTATAAACATATGGCTGCAGTCAGAAAACCCAGTCAAACTCACTACACAATACTCTGTACATTTGTACAGTTCTTGCTAAGCGTCAGAATTCTCATTTGTAATTACTTTATGTTCAATCAGAGATTTCAATATAATCTTTTCCCGTGGATTAGGTAACTGAAAATTAAACTTTTAACATTTTATGACTTTATTTGTATGTCTCTCTGGTTTTCTTCCGTCACCCATATAGTGAAACCCAATGAAACAATGCCTAAAAGCAAAACTCTACTTAGGGAGCAGACAGGTGTTTTAAAATGGAGTGCAGTGGTAGTCTTGAGGCTAGAGAATTGGACACGTGACTGCTTGGTTGCTGGTCTGAATTCCACAGTAGACTGCAAAACTGTTGATGGAGGAAGGGAATGAATTGCTTTCTCCCCTTCGTCTGTAGCTTTCATTGATCAACATCGCCAGACTGTAGTTGTGTCAGGCGGTTTCTATAGTAAAACCCTGTGAAAAATTTGTTTAAAATCGAAGGGACTTTTCTGTAACCTTGAACAAACAAAACAACCTACCTTCGGGTGCATTTGTTACACTCAGCTAATCATCGTCAGAACTATGTGGGATTGGTGTGATCAGATTTGATTGACCATTGAATCTTCTCCGTCATCCTGCCTGCTCTGGGACAAACATACAACCATAATGGACTAAATATTCATACTGCAGAGAGTTATAATGTAAAGTAATGCGTGGAAGCATTTTGTACACCGCAGATGGGAAATTCATGAGCACAGGAAAGGCTGTTAGCTACCTTTGTAGTATGCAACTGCCTTACAGTACTGTTCTCTAGATGAGGCAATGGCACTGCAATCGTCAATTCTTGATCCAAGGTAAGTCGAATTATGTCAAACAAACATGTTTGTTTGAATGCATTCAAACCTGATTTTATGAAAAGGTGGCATGCTTGTGGCACTTTTATTGTGTGTGTAGCCTTCTAACAGTAAAAATAATGTCCCAGATTATGTTAATATTCTGTGACATATTTACTATTCTTGGGAGGTTCATTGTGTTCTGCTGCTGTGATATAAGAATTTCCCTCTGGGAATGAATAAAGCAGCTATCTATTCATCTATCAACTTCTCAACATTGCCGGTGGTGTGTTATGTGAACATAAATGTCATGGTAAACTTGAACTTTGGATTCTTCAACACACACCCTGTGTGTAGGGGGTGTGTGTATGGGGATTCTGTAAGTCGCTGCTTGTTAACCCCTTGAAGCCTGAATTTTTTTACAATAAATTTTTTAACATAACATAACGTAACATAATGTAGTGAACAACGGTGTGGATTTGTGCATTTTGTATTGAATAAATTTGGAACTACTCCAAATTCCTTTTTCTCTCCCACAGAGGAGCAGGGGGTCAAAGTTGCTTCTTCTAAGTGCTATCCCTGACCATAAAGCTGGCACCTTTTTGATTCCGAAACTGATAATGCGGGGCCTGACTGTTAAACTGACAAAGGGACACAAACCAGCCATTAGCATTTCCCTGAACAGCCTATCAAAACTGGTTGCCGTGGAAACTGACCTTACTCTTTGTTTTATTACCACATCAAAAAGAAAACCCTTGTCTCACCCAAGTGTGACATGATCCAGACAGCCGAACTTTAAATAACCAAAGACCGCAGTCTCCAAAGACTCAAAGCATTTAATTAAGTTTAATTAAATCTTTAGTTACTTGATTACGTTTGCCTCTATTTGAGTAGTTATGTTAACATGTTGTTGCTATCTGTTGTTGATATTAGTGCTGAAAAGAAAGTTACTTTTGCAGTGTTTTTATTTTCAGCAAGACACTCCTTCATCTGATGTAATCAATGCTTGTTCATAATACTTTCCTACAAAATTCCTTTAGAAATGATGATAAAGAAATGTTTTACTATACTCTTAATCTCCAGCTTGAATTTAAGGATGAATCAACAATATTCCCCAGTTCCTAAGGAGAGATGATCTTGGATTAATCTAAGCTTTCAGTGGACGAAATAAGTATTACATGCCCTCGTCGGAAATGCCGTTAAATGTATAAATATCCTGACCAATAATGTGACAATTGTTTCCTGTTACCAAATGCTTAGAACAGTACAACCGTTCAACCATTGAGGTTCGATTGTGGAAAATATTTGATTATAATACGTGCAAATAGATTTCTTTAGACATTAAGTTTAGAAAGGCAGTCCCTTGGGAAACCTGAAACGCCCCCTGGGGAACCACGCCCCAGGCAACAAAAGAGCGACACGCGACATCGCTCTTTTCTTCCTTCTTCGCTGTTCTCTCTCCGCTGCTCTGCTCGGCTCTCTGGACGCTTCAGCACGCGTCGGCGTGCCGCGCCAGGCAGCGCCCTCAGAGTCGACCAGCGAAACAGGCCTTTTGTTTCGCTTGAAGCTACACATGTGAAGTGCAGTGACATCGATCTGCCCTTCAGTTTGTTTTAATTTCTTTATTTCTTTTGTTTGTTAAAGTTATGAGTCCGTTAAGTTACACTGGACTAATTCAGGAATGACCAAGTTCCATTTTAAGCCTTTTTCGTCGAGCCAACTTCACCGAGGTCAGACCAAGCCACGTGGTCTCGCCCACTACAACGAAGGAAACCTGAAAACAGCCGAATTGCCAGACGGAGGAGGCGTTTTCAATCAGACACGGAGAACCCCGGAGAATCCCTAGCAAAAAGCCAGGATCGTGCAGCTAGCGTGGGACCAGCAAAAGGCCAAGCAGACCGCCGACAAGCAGTAAGACTTAACACATATTCTGTGTTCAGGGATGTCCTTTTTAAATTCTAAACCCATAGCGTTAGCTTACTTTCATTAGTTCTTCTATGCCGTATGAGTCAAATGCTTCCCACAATCGAACCTCCAGGCTCATTGTTCAGCAGTTGTTTATTTTCCCTCTATCCAACCATCTTTTTATCACATTAGTTAGAGAATAAATTCACTGTAATATAATCAAGAGCTGTGTGTGTTGCCTATTTCTACGTCCCTGCCAAGAGAATTGACCCTTTAGATATGAGACTGACTGATTGATTTAAGATAATTAAGCGATTATTAACTAACTGATCACTAGTAATAATTGTATAATTATTAAAACTACCTAGAGGTCCGGAGACTCTAGGTTTATAACAACTCCGGTGGTGCCCTGAAATGAGGAATAAAATTAGATTTTATGAATATTAAAATTCATAACTGGGAATTAATTCTCATAAATTTATTAAAATGCATAACTAAATTTAGGTTTGCTACAATAACGTAACATAACATAACGTAACGTTACGTAACATAACGTAACATAAATAACTTTAATTTGGTTTAGGCAACAAAATGTCTCTGGATATGACGCTGAGCACATGCACTCAACTTCTTTGGTCACCTTCTTTTACATGGAGGAGCGCAAGGTCTCTAACATCCACCAGCTCCGTGATGTCTATATGGAGGAGTTGAAGAGGACTCCAGTGGCAACCTGTGAAACTCTGGTGAACTCCATGCCCAAGAGCGTTAAGGCAGTGCTGGATGGTGGCCACACAAAATATTGACACTTTGGGCCCAATTTGGACATTTTCATTTAGGGGTGTACTCACTTTTGTTGCCAGCGGTTTAGACATTAATGGCTGTGTGATGTGTTATTTTGAGGGGACAGCAAATTTACACTGTTATACAAGCTGCACACTCACTACTTTACATTGTAGCAAAGTGTCATTTCTTCAGTGTTGTCACATGAAAAGATATAATCAAATATTTACAAATATGTGAGGGGTGTACTCACTTTTGTGAGTCTGTATGTCACCTGAGCTTTTCTGCCAGCCCTGTGCGTCTCATACAGACGATAAAGAGCAAGAGTCATGACAAAACATATTTGTAGACCTGGGAATGAGAACGGAATGAAATGAGGAACAGCAAGATTACTTTCCTTCGGGTTGGCTTTTCTGGGCTTTGTCT